GGTTGCCATTGACGAAAACCTCACGAAGAACGTGGTGTGCTTGCAGACTGCCGTTCTTCACACAACCTGCAATGGAGAGCGTCGCATCCGCGTCATGACGCTGGCTCTTCCGACAACCACAAATCTCGCTGATATCTATGCCTCGGCGGATCAGCAGGCGATCACCACCTACTTCAGTCACAAGGCCGTCGAGCGTGCCTTGAGTGGAGGTTTGGAGGCTGCTCGCGACTCTCTCCAGAACAAGTTGATTGAGCTCTTGCAAACTTTCAGAAAGGAGCTCGCCGGCGGCAGCATGGGCGGCGGCCTGCAGTTCCCCTCCAATCTGCGCGGCCTCCCCATCCTCTTCTTGGGTCTCATGAAGAATGTCGGCCTCCGCAAGTCGGCTCAAATCCCGTCAGACCTGCGGTCGGCAGCTCTCTGTCTGCTTTCGACGCTTCCCGTCCCTCTCCTCATGCAATACATCTACCCCCGTCTCTACTCGTTGCACGACATGCCCGACAACGCAGGTGTGCCTGACTCGGAGACGAGCCAGATTGTGCTCCCGCCGCCGGCGAATCTCTCGTCAGAAAGGTTTGCTCCGTACGGTCTGTACCTCATCGACGACGGCCAGACGCAGTTCCTCTGGGCCGGCCGGGATGCCGTGCCGCAGCTGCTGGCCGACGTGTTTGGAGTTGAGGACAGGACCCAGCTGCGGGTGGGCAAGGGTGCTCTGCCGGAGCTGGATAACGATTTCAACGAGCGCGTACGGGCAGTCGTTCACAAGAGCCGGGACCACAAGTCCAAGGGAGTCGGCAGCATCATCCTGCCCCATCTCTACATTGTCCGAGAAGACGGAGAGCCGAGCCTTAAGTTGTGGGCGCAGACACTACTGGTGGAGGACAGAGCGGACCAGGGCATGAGCGCAGCACAGTGGCTTGGTATTCTTAGAGAAAAGGTAAGTCCCCCTAACCCAACCCAACCCAGCCCACAGTCAAGTGGTATTTTCGTTGTCAGGATAGTATTGCTAACAAGACGATGTAGGTTGTTACTTGATTGGAGAAGCGGTACTAAGGGGCAATTGCAATGCAAAGTGAAAGGTGGTAGCATGTGGTACTAGGTTTATTTAGACCAATGTCTCTATCAAATTAGAGATCAATACGCAAAAAATATTGGCGGAATACATTTGTCCCTCGTCCTCTCATCACATGCCCGATATGTACCTATGAAGGTGGATAGCTCTTGTGCGTGGTTCCGGTAAGCGGCACCAGTGACTCGCGAGAGAGACGGCGATGGCCTGGTAGGGGACCTTGCGTGGTAGCCTGTAGGAGAGTTGACTAGTCTTTCGGAACCTCTGGCTTCAGAAGAGGTCCTGAGGAAATGAGCTTGTCTCGGGAGGTTGAGAAGCCTGTGGGGCTCTGTTCATCTCGTACTTGACTGTTGGTGCCAGTGAAGGCATAAGTTCTCCTGCCACACGTTAGGGTGGTAGCAGCCGCCGTACGTCTAATATTCAGAAACCAGAATCCACTATCTAGATACGACTGCCTTATGCTGGTCTTGCAAAGAGGCTGAGTAATACTAAGAGATACGAGAATACCTATGTATCGTCCGTCTAGGCCAGGCCGCTTGAATCACCACCGCCCGAACCCATCCATCCCGCAGTCTCCTTCGACGGTGCAAAAAGAAAAAAATGTGAAATCTGGCACCTCCTCAGCTTCCGGGTCGGTTGATTGGGTGGGCTTGTGTGAAACTGGCACCAGTGAGAGGTGAAACACACGCGCCGAGGGTACAGAGGGGGACCGGCTCGGGGGCCAATGGCGGGCGGTGCTAGGCGCCGGCTGTACGTGTGCCGTGGCTTGCAGACGTGCTGGCCAATGAACGGTCCAGAAGTCGGTTTTTGGCATTTTCCCATCACAATAGCTACTGGTATAATTAGCACGTTTGTCACTTGGAATATCTGGGAGTTGGGTCAGCTGGCTTTGTTTGAATGCTGGACTTCCAAGAGAGAGGTAAGGCAAGGTATGCGGGAGACCTTTTGTTTGACGCTTCGACAGCTCGGCGAGGAAGTACCTCATGTACGGAGTACGGGGTACCACTGTGCCTTACGGATAGAGACCCTCAATGGTGTGAGTAAGACTAAGAGTTCCCCTTGCCCCGTCAATAAGGAGCCTGAGCCCCTGGCAATAAGGGTGGAATACCGGGGATATGCATGTATCAAGCTCGTTCCGCTAGCGCTGTTAGAGGTCCCCTTTCCCCGTATGTTGCTTAGTTGGTGCCGCCACGAGTAGAAGATACCTTAGCTTTCCAGAACTTGGAAGACCTCATCGAGCTAGGAGAAAAACCTCAAACAGCATGGTTCAATCATCCCGAAGTTGAGCTCATCAACCGGGTTGTGGATCGTCTGTTCCCACCTAGGGAGGCAGAGTCTAGACCAAAGAAAAGTGTGATCGTTCTAGACCGCGGCAACGTGGACTGAAATATAGCAGGGAAGAAGCATAGATGCGTAGCCGCCGTCGAAGCTTTCCAAGGGCGAGTCGGTTTGCTTCCATTGAGAGAGACTGGGAGACGGCATCGTCTATCTGAGGCTTTGTTTTGTTCTGGACTTTGACTGTTTCTAGTTGCTAGAGACTAGGGGGGATCCACACGGGGGCACTTCTGTTGTCATCGTGAGACCTTTGGTTCGATGCTACGGTGATTCAAGGTTCAAGTTCGGGTTGTTTTTGACTGCTCTCGGGCTGACGGGTCGGCGGGAGGGCGGAGCTTGCCTAGACTTTATCTGAATCAGAGATTAATTAGTCCTTGAACGGACGCAGCCTAGTAGTTGATCGGAAAGTCTAAGGTGCGGATAGTCAGTCTGGTCTTCTTCCCCTTCCCTCGCGGTTTTGTACGAATAGACGCGCAAGGGCGACTATGGATAGGTACTTGGATGGGTGTGGCGTAGGCTGTGTCCGTTGGTGAGACGTTGATGTTGGTCTCATGTTTTTCGTATCGATGGTTGTCCTTCTTCCTCGAGGCGCGGTCTAATTGTGATGGCCCATTCTGATTCTGGCGGCCGGGCTCGGGTTCCACGTTGGCTTTTCTCTTTCTTTCGTCTGCTCAGCAATTGGCTCGGTGGTGATACTGGGATAGCCCTGACAGCGAGTCTTTGAAGCTCCCTCTCCCGTCGCACATGGAAACAGGTTGGGGTTCCTTAAGTAAGAGAGGTAGATCGTTCATCCATCAGTCAGCGGCCCTGATTCATTGTGTTTTTCGGCTAGAACAGGTCCATTGACATCAATTGTGTTTGCAGTTTGGTATGCTTGATGGAGGCAAAGGTTAAGGTGGTAAAGGTTGTCAAAGATGTGGTGTACCTTGGGACATTGGAACCAGGAAGAGGAATGAGGGATACTTGGGTATTCATGGATACAACTGTATGCGGTAAGGTACGGAGTACTGGGGACTGGGTATTGGGTACGGAGTACAGTATGCGGTCCCCCCCAGGTTGCAGAAACGGCCTCGCGTGTTTCCCATTACTTGGACCCCGGTTCAAAAGATAGGTGCGATGTTAATGGATGTGCTGGGTCTAACTTCTAAGTGGCCCTTGCCCGGGGTGGAAGGGGGGGTTTCCTGAAGCAAGCACGTTTCCAAGTAAAGGTATCTTGACCTGGATTGGCGTCACTTGGTGGGCTCAAGCTCAGGTACCTATCCATACATGTAGATGTGTATAGCAGGTACCTCACGCAGTGCTCCGTACTTACCTTAGGTACTCCCATCTCTAAGTAAACTTGACTGCCGCTGCGCACCTCCCCTTTGGCGTCCACAGGTCTGGTCCTTCCTACCGGGGAATAAATGGTGGATAAGAGCATGAGTAGGTAGGTATCCGTACCTTCCTCCGTACTCCGTACTGTATTCCCGTCCGTTATTGCGCAATCCATCAAATCCGACAAGTAATAGTTCGTGATACCTACCCGTAGTCTGTGTCTAAAGTCGTGCCCGAACGGCAGGTATCTGTCTAGCACCAATTGTGCCCTAAGCAAAGTATCTATATACCTTACCTTACCTAAGGTAGGTAGGCTTGCAAACGTTCTCGAGTACTTTGAACTTGGTTGGTTCTCAAGGCAAGATACTTTGTCCTTCTCCCATTGTTAGGCCCGCTGCTAGGTATCTAAGCTTGCTAAGGTACTTGGGTAACCTCAGGAACCAACCTACCTTACCGACAACACCAGCTAGTCCAGGGTCAGGTCCCGCTATCTCCCCCTCCTTTGGACCCCCTCCCCCTCTCCTCCGCTTGCGCCGCCTGTCTCGATCCCATTCCCAGGTCTCTCTTCCAGTCTCGCTCTGTGAGGTATCTACGGAATACCTTACCTACCTGCCGTGCCTCACCCATCACACTTCTCTTTTATCGTCTTCCTCGACTGTTGGTGGAAGACAAAACAGAAACACACGCGGGTGATAACACCTCGACCTAAATAAAGCCTGACCAACGACTCCAGGTCAAGGCCTCATTAGACGCCCGCCTGCCTACTTATCCACCACATCACATCGAGAGACAAGACACTGTGACATCTCTACAAAGACAAATCTGCAGCGGGGTAAGATTACCTATCTGACCTACCTACGAATACCTTACCTTACAAGTTACCACAGTACTCCATACACAGTAGGTAGACAAATTCCCATTCCCTTACCGTACTCATTCCACCCGTCACCTCACTTTATTACCCTTAGCTTGACCATCACACGTTTGCGATTTTTCCTTCTCCTCCTCTTTCTCCAGCCTCACAGCCGCCTCACCACCTTCTCTCACTCTCACTCTCACTCTCACTCTCACTCTCCGCCCCCCCCCCCCTCCTTTCACATTGACTTTCTTCCACCAGAACATCGAGGGTCAATTTACCTTAACTTCGTACCGACCCGATCTGATCTGACCTGGCCTCACCTTGCTCTGTAGCCACTTCGCATATCCTCGCTTCGTCGCAAGTCTCTGGTACGTATACTTTGCTCTGAGTCTTTGTCCTCCTCCTGTCTCCAGCTGGGTATTTGCATTCCATACCCAGTCAACCGTCCGGCACCATCCTGAGATCGTCGTCGCCGCAGTCCTCGGCGACCTCACTGCCCATTCTCCATTCTTTACCCCCTCTTCCCGTCTAGCAACTAAACTGCCCCTGGCCGTACTTGCTCTTCTCCCCCTCGTCTCGCTTCCCTTCATGCTCTCATCCCGAACATCATACCGGCAGACACATCTATCTAGGTAGGCCACTCCCAAGAGAGAACCACAGAGTGAGAGAGAGGGAGAAAAAAAAGCATCCAAGCGGAAGCAGCTATACACCCCTCGGCCCCGGTCCAGGAGTTCGTGAAGCTCAACCGCGTTGTTCTCTTCCGGGCCCGCCTGCCTCGTGGTGTCTTGTCCCTCCTTTGCGCATCTTAGACGTATCTCGTCTGAAGTCCCGTCGCAGTCGCAGGGGGTGCTCGGTTCATCGCCCGTTCCCCTTACCTTTTGCCTCGTTTCGTTGCGTCGCGACCCGCAACCCACTTGCCCTCACCTCACCAGCACCCTTTCTTGCTGCTCCTCACCTTCCAAGCCACGCGGGCTCCCTTTTTCTCTGTGCTTCGCGTTTTGCTATCGCTCATCTTCTGGAAGCTTGTCTGCGCTGCATCTGGCTGTCGCGCCAAACTCTCCCGGAAGATCGATTGCTTTTCGAGAAGCCACGGAAGAAGGCAGAGAGAATAGGTCCGGACACCCGCTCGTCTGTTGGTCTGCGGTTGCTCCCTTTCTGCTCTTCTCTAGGTGCTCTGCTCTGAGCCTGCGCTGCGCTGATCAGAACTGCTTTGTCTCTTGCAAACCTGGCTTGGACCTGAGTTCAGTTCCTGGGTCTTGTGGTCCTTTATCCGTACCCGACCGATGACCCAGCTGGTTCTGGTTCAGGACCCTCCCCAGTGCCTCCTCACCTTGCTTAACCTTGCGCATCCCGGGATACTTGCCTGTTCTGTCACTTGACCCGTTGGAGCTCCTTCCAGCTAACACGATTCAGCTAACACCAATTCTCAGCCTGCAGTTCCCGCCTAAAGCAGCCCTCTCAAGTCCGGATACTTGCAATCCATCCATCACACTCACCCCGTCCTCAACCGACAATTTACCTTCCTCACACACACACACATACGTACGTCTCTGCTATCGAGCAAAGACCACAATACACACCACCCATCAACAACCACAACCATATTGTGGTACTAGACGAAAGGAAAAACGAAAGAGTGACCGACATCCGAGACGTTGGCAAGAAATCCAAACACGATCCCGGCCTGTGACAAGCGGACCTCACCCAGCACCCAAGGCCCGAGCGGACCCAAGAAACACGGCCCTCGCCCACTTTCGAACCTCCGACGACACTCGTCCCCTTCCACCCTCCCGTCCGCATCTTTCTGTCCCATCCTTCCCCCCTCTCGAGATACTCTACAGCCGATCCGCCTGTTGTCTGTTCATTGACTGGACCGACCTGGTTGCGTGTTCTTTCTTCCAATCCAACCAAAGAACAAAGTACCGCCGGTTTGCGACCTCAAGCTTTGTGTGTGTGTCTGCGACGCCCATCATTTTTTTTTTTTTGACAGCCGCCGTCGGTCGATCCCACCCTTCCTTTCGACAAGTCACAAACGGCCTGCCCGCCAATAATTATACCCCCCGCAGAACCAAATACCGGAATCCTTTCGCCTCCTTCCTGAACCACCGCGCAAACCAGGCAATTGTGGTTCTGCAAGACGGCCTTATTAGGACGACTTAATTCTCTCCCTCATCCCCCCCCCCTTTTTTTTTTCTCCGCCCAAGGTTGCATCTCGTTCGCGAGGACCCGCCTGTGTGGTATTACTCCGTCGGCCAACTGCTCCGACAACTTCCTCTCCACATCGACACCATCGTCGCACTTCGCTCACAATGTCGCGCGCGAATCCCCCCAACGCTTCGGGCTCCCGAAAGATCTCGTTCAACGTCAGCGAGCAGTATGATATTCAGGATGTCGTCGGCGAGGGTGCATACGGAGTCGTCTGGTGCGTTGTCTACCGTTTTAACCGCAATTCAAGAAATAGCGGGTTGCTAATTGGTTACTCTATAGCTCGGCGATACACAAGCCTTCTGGCCAGAAGGTCGCCATCAAGAAGATCACACCTTTCGACCACTCCATGTTCTGTCTGAGAACTCTGCGTGAGATGAAGCTTCTTAGATACTTCAACCATGAGAACATCATCTCTATCCTCGACATCCAGAAGCCCCGCAGCTATGAGACATTCAACGAGGTTTACCTCATCCAAGTGAGCAAAGCCTCCCAAGGTGCCACACCCATGGGAACGGGCCATATACTAATGCCTTTCTCTACAGGAACTCATGGAGACGGACATGCACCGTGTCATTCGAACCCAAGACCTGTCCGACGACCACTGTCAATACTTTATCTACCAAACCCTTCGTGCTCTCAAGGCGATGCACTCCGCCAACGTCCTTCACCGTGATTTGAAGCCCTCCAACTTGCTTCTGAACGCCAACTGCGATCTGAAAGTCTGTGACTTTGGTCTGGCGCGTTCTGCTGCATCCCAGGAGGACAACTCGGGTTTCATGACGGAATACGTCGCGACTCGTTGGTACCGTGCTCCCGAGATTATGTTGACGTTCAAGGAGTACACCAAGGCCATTGATGTATGGTCCGTTGGCTGTATTCTGGCCGAGATGCTGAGCGGAAAGCCTCTGTTCCCCGGCAAGGACTGTGAGTTGGACCCTAATGTGGCCTAATCCAAGGTACAAAGCTAACCAGACATATGACAGACCACCACCAGCTCACTCTGATTTTGGACGTTCTTGGTACCCCGACGATGGAAGACTACTACGGCATCAAGTCCCGCCGCGCGAGAGAGTACATTCGCTCGCTTCCCTTCAAGAAGAAGGTTCCGTTCCGCACCCTGTTCCCCAAGACGTCCGACTTGGCTCTCGACCTTCTCGAGAAGCTCCTCGCTTTCAACCCTGTCAAGCGCATCACTGTGGAGGACGCCCTTAAGCACCCCTACCTCGAGCCGTACCACGACCCGGATGATGAGCCTACTGCGCCACCCATTCCCGAGGAGTTCTTCGACTTTGACAAGCACAAGGACAACCTGAGCAAGGAGCAATTGAAGCAGTTGATCTACCAGGAGATCATGCGGTGAGCGATGTCGCAGGGTATCCAAGCAAGAACAGAAGCAAGCCAGAGAGAAAAACACGGTCCACAGCAGGTGCATGGTGGGTCAGAGAGACATGATCCTGCGGGACGATGACAACGAGAAAACCACAGCGACGCTGCTGAGTCTGAGGGTGGGCAAAACGATTATAGACAAACCATGCGGGACGGACAGGAGAGTCAAGGCCGTGCAGCCCGTGGTGATTGGGAGATACAAAGGAACATATGTGAGGCGAATCAGATTCGACTAGAATCAGTCGAGTGAATGATGGATAGGCAAATACTTTTCTCGTCTAATTTCCTCTTCTCTTCCGTTGCTTGCTTTGCTTGACTTTCCGTGAGCCCATCCGTATGGAAATCTCCAGCCACCCGTCCCAAGAGGTGTTGACGACGTCAGTGACGTAAATTTGACGGATTGATGAAGGACATGAGAAATCAAAGCACGTTACGAAGTCAAGCTACAATCTATCTCAGAAACGTGGATTGACGGTCTTGGGCTGACCTGATCGAAGCTCTTCAATTAGCAGGGGTTTAACAGCAATAGAGCGCTCAAGAGTATTGGGCAATATCAGGAAGTGTAAGGGAGAGTGACCCAAAGATTAGGGGGAAAGAAGAAGTTGATGATAGTCGAGACTAGAAATTCTTCGCTACGGGATTGTCAATGGAAGCTTTACTGTGGTAATTTCCATCCTCCATGTTACTTTGGCCGTTACTCTCAGGAGTTGCCCCAATTGTGCTTCCGATGGACCGATGTTGGTTAGCTCACCATGCCCCGGAACGTTGGAATTTCAACGTCAGCTGTAGTTGTGTGTGTGTGTGTGTGAAGATTTCAAAGACGCCGGATATCCAGCTAGTCCGGGCGGGACTCGGTTAGGTTCTAGTTGAGAGGAAGAGAGAGAGAGAGCATCAAGTAGAAAAGATGAAACTTGTTGACAACGGCTCCGTCATCTTGAAAAAGGAATGTTATAAAGATGTTGATTCTTTAAAGTTGGAGGGGTATTGTTAAAATCAAAAAATGTCTTTGCAATCCTCGTGTTGCCCGTAATAGTTCAGTCCAGGCCAGTCCAGTCAGCGTTCTCTTCTTCCTTCCCCGTAACGAGAGTTGGTTTGATGGTCCAAGTCGATCGCGCATTCCCAAAGGAGATAGACGGCGGCAACACTGACGGTGTTTGCCCCCTGGTCGGCTCGTTCCAATTCTTAGGAAAAAGAAGAGGTTTTGTATCCGTATGTCGCTTTTCGCGGCATCATTGTTGCCATAGAATTACCGCAGAAAATTGCTGTCGGCCAGATTTCGCAAATAACCTTCGCCTTTACGCCCCCTTTGTTCTAACGCCCAGTTCCCAGTCCCAAGTTCCAGTCGTATATCTGTGTGGTGTATTGTCTTTTTTTTTTTTTTTTTTTTTTTTTGGCATGTTTCCATCTCGCCCCCCTTTCACAGAGAAACACGAGCGTCCGCGGTCTCTGAGCGTGCTCCGTGATCATGTTGCGTACATCAGCGTACTGTTGTTCCGGCGGCCTGTACCTGTAGGCAATCGTGCCGGGCCCGTCTCCGTCAACTTGGGGGGGTGGGGGCTTTTTCTTTTTCTTTTTCTGATTCTATTCTCTGGCAGTCACCATCTTTCAGGCGCCAAGCACCCAAAGCTCCACACCCAGCACGCCAAACTTTTCTCCCTCGTCGCTCAGAGGCTCGTTGCCAAAGGTATGGCTGCGCCCGCTGTGCCCGCGGTCGAGGCTATCGTCGAGCCAGAGGCCGTAGTGCCCGTCACCGGCGCCGACGCTGAGGAAGCCCGTCTCGCAGTTGATGTAGTAGTCGTTGATGCCCGAGTAGGGAAACGCCTTGAAGCGGATCGACTCGCTCGGCGCCGGGGACGGCGCGTTGTTGCGGTCGCCAAAGGTTGAGCGTGTCGGGCTGGCGACCGTGGTGATGCGCGTCAGGCTCGTCGTGTCGGCGGAGGGCGGTGGCGGGAGCGGGGTGAGGGTTGAGGCGCGCCAGAGGAAGCATTCGCCGTTGCCAAAGTATTTGGACGCGGGGTGTGGGTATTCGGAGAGGTAGGCGCCGAAAGTCTGGTCGTGGAGGAGAGGAGGGGTTAGCTTATTGCAATTATCGAAGACCTTTTTTTGGCCACGGTGACATGGCCTCGCAAAGAGAGGTGCAGTTCAGAGGAGAGGTTCCCACTTACGCCGCCTAGATCGTCCCTCACGACTAGAACAAACCCAATCCGGGGCCGCCCCTGGAACTCGGCTGCCTTTTGGTATAGTGTTGCCAGGCTGGCGCCGTCCTGCTCCAAGCTGTATATCAACCTCCAGTCCTCCTTGATCCTCAGTCTCTCTGGAAGCATGATGCGAATCTCCTCGGCCACGCCGTGACTCAACAGCCGGGCACTCTGCGAGGTGTTCTCCTTGTAGCCATGCAGGACAATGGGGTCGAGAGGCGGCGGACGAAACGGACTCGCGGTTCGAACGGGTTGTTGACTGGGGAAGAAGACGCCGTTGATGCCATCCTGGATGCCCCCACCACCACCGGCGGGCTCGGTATGCGCGTGGGAGAGGTGTGAAGGCTCGTGCGGGTGTCCGTTGTGGCCGTACGACTCTGGGATATCGGAGGAGAAGCGGCGTATTAGACCGGACCACATTGTTGTGATGACAGAGTTCGATAACGACGGTGCGGTGGAGGAGGAGTGGGTTGGCGTGTGTGCGCCGGAGGAGGATGGTGTTTCTGGAGGACTCTGGTAAGCCATCTCTTCTGTCTTGACGCCCGGGTCAAGGCAGCATATGATGTCGAGGGCCGGCAATGGGTGGCCGGACGTGGTGGGGTGGCTAGGTCCGGTTTTCAAGGGTGGGCGTGGAGAAGATAGCGTGGCATATATGGGAACAAGTCGGTTGCGGTGGTCGGACAGGGGCTTATCATCGAGTAGACGGGCGCTATGTGAGAGTAGTTGAGGCGACGGGGGAGCGAGTAGTCTCTATCTCTCTCTTCCTTTCTCTCCAGGCTACGGGTATGTGCTGAACGAAAACGACAGTGATTTTACTAGGGGCGGTAGTTGGTAAGCAACAAAAAAAAAAAAAAAGCAAAATGGGCTGGCTGGTTGGCTTGGGCTGTTTGACTTGGTGTCGTGTTGATTAGGCCAGGCGAGTAGAAGTGGCCGGTAGGAGGTTGAGTACGCAGTAGGGTAATCCGAGAGTAAGCTAGGTCGTTGGACAACGGGGCTTGTCGCCGGTGCAACTTTTAGCTTTCGGCCAACGGCGGTGAGTTCGGATCGGTCCCGCCGCAGAGGGGACTGGGTTGGTCCGGCGGATACACACCGAGGTCTGGAGATATGTGGAAATATTTGTAGATAGGTAAGGTTGCTAGGATGGGGAAGAGTAGACGGAGAGAAGTTCCAGTTCGTTATGTTGCGGGGTCGTTTATCGGGAGGATGCGACGGGGAGGAGCGAGTTTCTGTTCAAGTCGCGATAGCTAGGCCAGTGGTTGCTGGGTCGAGATTGGATTTCTTTTGCAAAGACGGGCAGTAGATAACTGTTCTTTCCCTGCTTCCTTTACCTTTGGATACCTTACCTTGAGCTGTACCTAGGCCCGCTACCCAAGCACCCAAGGTAGACAGCAGTGGACTGACACTTTGACGTAACGCCCAAGCTACCTCGGTGTGGTGTGTACGGGCACGGTGCATTGGCTTGCTGAGTGGACGCCGCTGAATGAGGGGTAATTAGGTAGGTGTTTGGCCTGTAATACTCCGTACATACCTAAGGTATGCATAGGTACGGAGCACGTAACTAGTCCTACTCAAGGCTCAGCGAGGTTGCTTCACGTTCTTGTTCCTTGACTTTGGCTGCTCTCTTTCCATGTGTCAGCACCACACGTCTAGCTGTATAGCTACCTACCTTACGTATTACCTGGCAGGTATTCAGACGGCAAGGTAGGTACGTAACTATGACAGATGTCTTCCGAGACGGGAAGTGCAAGTGGTGTGATTCGACAAGGGTTCGCGACCAACGGTGCAGCTGGCCGCCGCCACTTCCTGCGAGCTGTTCGTCACGGGACCCCAATTGTTCCTTATCAGTCGTAATCAGACTAATCAGTACGTACTCTGTATCATTGTGGCCCCATTGGCGTCCCAAATTCATGCTTCTTTTTCCTGCCGGCCACCCCCGGCCGGGCGCCCGGACGGCCGGTCTCGTCTCCGGTTACGTACAAGTCGCAGCCATTCATGTCGTCTTACCCTAGCATTACTTGATGAAATGGGTACGCGCAGGCACTGCTGATGCCTCACCATCACTACATTTCGTAAGAAAATGAAAGAACAGGAATTACTAGTCACAGTAGTTACGTTGCGAATATCATTGTGAACGTACTCATTTCGTGGGGTAAGTTTTCACTTTGTAGGATTCATCTAACAAAACCATTACAGTGGAACAGGCTTTTGGTGCTGTTCCCTCCCGCCATCGCAAGCCCGCGCTTATAAGAAGCTGAATCGGGAGACGGGAAATGAATTTGGAGTGTCTCATGGTCAAGAAGGCTTGACTTTTGCTTCGTGAGAAGAAAGAGAAACAAGAACCCCCCCCCCCCCCCCCCCCCCAAAAAAAAAGAGCTCAGAAAACAGGAACACGGGCGTTGTGGTCCCGTCTCCTCAAAACACCAAATACACCATAACCGGTCCCCGAATAGTATAAAAAGGGTCCCTTCATTTTTGGTTGGTATCCGTCATCATACCCTCTCATCTCAATCTCTCATATCCATATCAACCGCCGTGATTGTTCCTCAAGTACCCCCCTCCCATATCGCGTGAAAATCGTTCCCTTCTTCTGGTGATTGACTCCATCCCTGTCAACACTCTCAACCCTCTTCGTCTCCAACGTTTTTACAAGTAGTGAAAGATGTTATTGGTAATACATGATGATGAAATCTCCCTCCCCCTTCACAATGCCTTGCCGACGCTGTTCTGGCTTCCTCCGCTGGGCCTCCTCTGGACATTCTTCTTTTGCTCTCCGGACCGGTACCCCGCAACCGGGCTCTCGGCGCCCTCGGTGCGATAACCAGGTCCGCTCGAGGGTCCGACGTCCGGTCCTGGATCACTCCAGCCGTCCATGCTCACACCACTGCTGTACTTTGAGCTGAAGGTATCCGCACGCGTGTGAGCATTGCCGGGTACGCGAGGTGCGCCGCCGCCTTGGCTGTAGTTGCTGCTGGCCTGCGTCAACCGGCCACCGCTACTGCTACCGAGACTGCTGCTCAGTAGTTCGGGTCTTTCCAGATCAAACGGATCAGATCGGAACTTGTTACGCCTTGTCGCGAAGCTCTCGACGCTTTGCATCGAGTCTCGGTACATCGAATCCAGGCGCGGAGAGTAGGTTGAGCCGCTAGGGGGCCTGGTTGTGGCGCCGCCAACGGATGTCCCTCTTGACCGGCGGACATCAGCGACGTATGTCGACGACGGTTTTCTTGCGGCGGCGGGTGCTGATATGGCATTGGCATCAGAGAAGGGGTTATTGCCGTTGCCGCTGCCTGGGTTGGCGACGGCGAGCGGCGCTGGCTTCGCCGAGCTGTGAGGCAACGCGTTGATATCAGAAAAGGGGTCGGCGGAAGCGTTATCAAAGTTGAGTCCCAGGCCGCCGAGGAAGTGATCGGCGGAGCCGGCGCTGCCTTGGTTCCGGCTCACTCGCCTCCTCTGAGCTTCCCGTTCAACCTCCCTGTCGTCCATACCCAAGAGCGTCAAGAAGTCGGGCTGTCCGGGCGCGGCCGCTTTCCTATCGCTCATGTTGCGAGCTGAGGCGAACGGGTCCTTTTCGGCATTCCCGTCGCCGCGGAGTCGCCAGTTGAATTTCATATCAGCCGTCAACCGTTCCCACCAGTCCTTGACTCGATCCTTTGTCGTCACGACGTCTCGCGGTCCACCATGGTTTGATAGAGATGAGCTGTTTCGGCTGTGCTGGGAGATGTTCATAAACTGAGTGCGGTCGTTTGTCGAGCTGCTATCCCGGTTGCGTGAGACCAATCCGCCAAACTGGCCGCGGAACCTTTGAAAGTTGTAGCCAAGCGCGGCCTTGAGCTTCGCTGAGCGTGGTGTTGGTCCCAAAGATCCTCTGTCAATGACATACGAAGACTTTTCCCTGAAGCTGGGATCCGTGGACAACGGGGTGAGAAGCGTGCTCCGACGCTTCCTCAGCAACCTCTTCCGCCAGAACCAAAGCAGGAATCCAAACAAGCCAATCACCGCAACAGCACCAACAACACTCGAAGCAATCACAACAGGAGTAGCCACGCCTCCAGATCTGCTGCTCGAAGCAGGAACTTGACTGGTCGCGGGAGCATCGCTCCCTGTCCCTGCCTCGCCTGCGGCAGTGCTCGGGTTCAGGGGCGGCGAAGACGAGATAGCGCCAGCGCCTGCTCCCGCGCTGCTCGTGGGTGAGGGTGATGGGCTGGCTTCGCTGAAAAACGCGGGGGGCGCTTGAGAAGGAGTTGGTGTTGGGACTGCGTTGGCATCAGTCTGGCTGGTTACTGGAACGGGTGGCAATACGACTGGGGCAGGTATTGAGGAAGAAGAAGAAAAAGAAGAAGATGAGGCGGGAGTAGGAGAACTCTGCACAGGAATATTGGGAATATTTTGAAAAGTGGGAATCGTCGCCGGCGGTTCAGCGTCAACGATTGGAGGCTGAGAAGAAGAAGACGTTGATACTGCTGGAACCGGCGGCGGCGGAGGTGGAGGAGGGCTCGATACGACTGGAGCAGGCGGCGCTTGTGTCTGCTGTAGAGGCAGTGGTATTGAAGAGGGAGTATTCACTACTGGAGGGGGGGGAGGGGGAGGAGGAGGAGGTAATGAGGAGCTCGTCGTACTCGCTGAACTAGTTGTCAAAACAGCTGGTGGTGGTGGTGGCGGCGGCGGCGGCGGTGGTGTTGTTTGCGGTGGTGGAGGAGGCGGAGGTGGAGGAGTAGGAGCAAGAGTAGCTACTGCTGGAGGCGGCGGCGGTGATGAGCTCACTTGCGGAGGTGGTGTCGATCTTGTCGTCGAGTGTGTTGTCGATGCCGAGTGAGACGTACCCGTCGAGGCACGTTGCTGGTTGTTGGACTTTGACTTATTCCCATTCCTCGGCCTCGCCGTACACCTCTTGCCATTGAAATTCGTGATGAAAGCCCCATCCGGGAGGTTCGAGTTCCGATTTGGACTCGACATTGCTGCAATATGTTGCGATTCCAGTCGCAAAAAACTGAAGAGTTTCGAGAATCGAACAAGGGCCCCGAGACGGGTTGAAGAAAGTAGACTGATACTAGGAGAAGCCTAGCCGGCCATCTAGGTCGATTCGCAAAAGCTCATTAGGAGCCGGTTCCTTCTGGAGCATAAACGGCGAGAGAGCCGTGAGAAAGTAGGTTATTCGATGGACGAATACGTGTAAGCCAGTAAATGCTGCGTGCAGACAGTCTGAAAGGGTGAGACTGTGTCGTCGAAGTCGTCGTTCTCGGTATCGAAGCGAAGCGAAGCAAAGCGAATAAACAAGACGCTGAGAATAGAAAAGAAGCAATCACCAAATAGTTGGGAGACGAAGAAGGTGAAAAGTCGAAAAAGGTGTGAGAAGGGTGTCACGGAAAGAATCGAAGGTGGTGGTGGTAAGGAAGAAGACGAGGAGGGTGATCGGGGTAAAGGGAGTGTAAGAGACTAAAGGAGGGTATGGCAGGGTAAGGTATGGTCGGGCAAGGTTATGGTTAGGTATGGTAGGGAAGACTAAGAGAGACCAGCCAGGGCCTGGTCGGGTGTGGTTTGGTATGGACCGGTTTGGACTGGTACGGCAGGGTCTGAGTCTTGACTGAGGCTCGCGGGATGTCTCTCCGATCGTGCGGGACAGGGACCACACACACCTCTTGCTGGACTTCTCACAAACAGAGACGGGCACCAGTTTGCAACATGCAAGCAGGCACTTGCGTGTTACATGATATAGCATGGACCACAGGCGTGTGTACTGTGGTATCGAGGACTGATGTGTATTATCCCATCAGCCGGGGGAGGTGAGCACCGTTGAGGGAGTAGGGTTATCCGTGGACCGTACAGACTTTCCGTACAGAGAGTATCCGTACCTTACGGTAGGAAGAGAATGAGGAGTACTTATCCGTACAGAGAGGAGAAGGAGAAGGAGAAGGGCGGTAGGCGCCGAGCGACAGCGTTACTTCGGGTACGTCTCCTTACTCTAATCGAGGACGACCGAAGTGACAGACCCTAGACCATGAATGGACCAGAGGCAGAACTAGACCAGAACAGACTCCAGACCAGGCCAAACCAAAGTTAGCAAAACCAAGTAAGGTACCTACTAAACCCATCACAGGGCGCCGAGGACGGGCATGCAAGTCTGTAGCCGCTGCAGCTGCAAATGCAAGGCATGCCGCAAGTCGCAAGAGCAGGAACTTGCAAGATGGCTTTGCGTCCTTGGTATCCGTACACTAGTACGATTCTAGACGCAGTCTCCCTCAAGTCAGTCGTTTGACTCGACTGGACGGTTAACCCGACTCGTGGAACGGACTCTCTTCTCATGACAGGAGGAGGGCAGGGAGCCTCAAGAGAAGCGGCAGAAGCAGCAAAGCACGGGCATTGATGGTGTCTGTCGCAGCATGGAAGGATTGATCAATGTTTGATGGATATCTCCTCTCACACACATCTCTTTCTCGGGCGCATCGCGGGATTGATCCAACGGGCATTGGTGGCCGTGTCTGAGAAGGTTCCTTTGGGAAGAGAGTGACAGGATGTAGTTGCTGCAGCGCTGGGACCCGGGTATCGATGGACGAATCATGATGAGAGTGGAAGCATAGGCGCATCAAGATGGGAACCGATGCTGCAGGGATGGGGTCTGACCTTGAGAGACTTGAACGTTCCCCACCAACGGCTGTGAAGCGTGAACATTGTGTGTGGGAGTGGAATGGGATTGGGAGAGGGAGGAAGAGGAAGAGGAAGAGGAAGAGATGCAGTGTCCAGTCCAAAAACGGCGACCCCCCTGTCTGTAACACACCTGAAGCACGAGAACCCGCCTCCAAGCAACCCCAGGCACGTTCCAGACCAGGGGTCCCCAGCCTCATTAGTAATCACTACCGACTTACAAGTTTGCTGTCCATTGATCGGTCACTTCAGTAGTGTCTAGAGAATCATCTCTTTTGCTGTGTATCCGTCGACTCTCCATTCTTCATTGGGCTGGTTGGGTTCACCGTTGACCGTTCCGTCTGCGGTCTGCCTGTGACAGTCTAACCCTAAACACGTTGGTTGGCGGTCCCTCCACACACCTTGTTTTCCTTGGTTCACTTGGAATCTCATGCCAGACATGCCAGAACCATCGTCGACTTGCGCTACAACTGACAAGCTTACCGGTAGTTCTCACCTTGGCTGCTAGTGACTGGTAAGCCTGGTTGGTAGTCACTGCCTAGGTACCTTAACTTGGTGTGAAGGTCAAGTATCGCGGATACGTAGCTACGTACCTACCGTTACCCCTGCATAAGTCTCGTCTGTGGCGCCGAATCGGCCAACTTGCGGCCTGCCTTGGAAACGCCGCAACTGCTGCAAGACACCAGCGGTGTGGGGCCTTCCCGTCGCAGCGCATCCAACTGGGAAAGGGGACACTTCACCTGAGGGTACGTGCCCGTCTTGAGCCAGAATCTTCCCAGTGGCATTTTCCATGCTTTGTCGAATTCCATCCGCTGCATACCTTACTGTGTACCACCACCTCACGAATGCCTACGATAGTACGAATACCAGAGCCCTTCTCGCCATTGTTCGGGTGTGATCCGACCCTCCCTTTTTTGTTTATGGACCGTTGCATGTCGAAGAAAAGTCGGAACGAGACCTCTCCGTCTCCAGCAACCACCGATTCTTCAATGTCCATGCCCGTGTGTATGTGGCGTCATGCAGCAGAAGCGGCAGAGCCTCACCACCGTAAACGCAATATATGCGCAATAAACTCAAGATACTTGGGCTATATCTGACGTACCTGCGTATTCAAAATACCACTTACAGTAATAGCCCTCTCCCACCCATGGCATCCCACATACGTAAACGAATATACATACGTGTACGGATAGATGAATCATGGCTGGGCGTGCTGGACAAGGGCAGCGACCAAGTCAGGCCAGATCAGGTGCGTGCGTCTTTAACCCCTCCATTTAATTAATCTATCTCGAGTTTATTTCTCCTGCCTGCGGATACCACCAAGAAGTCATCGCGAAGCTTCTCAACCCCGGCACGCCGCACAACGCTTCGGAACATTCTTGGCTTCCCCCCTCGCTCACTGCGCCGTTGGCCCCTCATTCCTCATTCTCCGAAAGTTCCCACCTCGTCAGTGTCAAAAGCCGTCTGTAAATAGATTCTAGCCTCCGGAGTGCGCCCTCTCGGCCATGATCTCTCAAACAAATATGCGGCCCGCTCTCACCGCTGGGCTGGCCCAGGGCAGTGGCCCCCCTTCTCGCCTGTTGTGCACATCCGGAGAAGGCCTGCCGCGGCTGCCACCGCCGTGGCATTCGCAACTCCTCCTCAATGGTTCCCAGACTCACAGGTTGCAACTCGCTCCCTTTTCGGCTGTGTGAGACACCATCCAACGCTCCTGTGCCCACCAGCCTGCAGGAAACAAGAAACACCATGCACGACGCATCGCCTCATTGAGTCGCTTTAAGAGAAGCGGAGTCGTAATCGTCGTCGTCGTCGTCGTCTAGGTTCTAGGTACGCTTCGACCGAATTGCGGACATGTCACCACACATCTACAATTCCCATCCTCACCTCGTGGTTGGCCGTCACTTGCAAAGACCCTCCAACCAAAACCCCAAATATCGTCCCTCCTTCGGCCAACCCCCGACTTCATCGCTTCACCTCATTTTCTGAGCATGAATGTCACAAGCAGACAGAGGAGGTCGGGAACCCTTTGCTCGGTCTTTTGTACACTTGGACTATCAGAGCACGACTGTCACTGAATCCTCTCAGGTCCCCTTTGCCCTCATCCATCTTCATTCCTCAAGATCATGCTCGCCAAGACCGCACCATTGCTCGGTCTTGACTAACTTGTGAAGGTCTCTGGTCACAGGTGAATTAAGACTAGTATGTGTATCTGTTGCAGGCAAGCCCCCTGGTCCTCATGACCTCGTGGCATAACCACCCAAAGTGGATGCTTGAGATGGCAGTCCCGCAGGCTCTTCCCAGACTGGTCCACGAAAGCGAAGACCACCCTGCAAGCCGTTTCCAAGAGACTCTTTTCACTCTTTTCATGGTCTTGGCCCGTCTTGCCCGCAATGGCACCCTGCCACGGCTGCCCACTGAGGAGGGGCACGCCGCACGGGGGTGGTCACTAGCGACCGAGACGTCAAACACCCCAGGGGCTAGTCGGTCGATCATTTGACACGGGTATCCCCTGGGAAAACATGGCAAAGCGTCTTACTGTCTACGGATATTTGGGCGCCGTTTTGCCCCCCAACTTCCCAAGCAGCAGCCGGGAAACGGGTAAAGTTGTTCCCTCTACGAATACCTACTGCGGTGTACAAGGTGTTGTCGAGTTGGCGCGTCTCGGATATCGACATAAAGAATGCGGCGCACAACTTTTCCAAACGTGCTCACCAGCACAGCACAGCCCGAATGCCTCACGTCCAGTTCGCGCACACCGAGTATATAGTGCCGGTTTGCCACTTGATGTCGCAAAGTTCGGATTTTTGGTTATTGCGCCCGTTCTGGGGAGGAATTTGCGTTTGACAGTTTATCCCAAGATCAGGAATCCGTAAAGGTGGTCGATCATGTTCGGGCTGTCAATCCTCCTGACATGGTCAATGCAAACTTACAGAGGGTGGAAGAGGGGATCTTCACTTCCGATGATGCATATCACCCAAAGAGGACAGGGCATAGGGCTTAATAGAGTGACACAAGCTTAACGAAAGATCAAGACTCCAAGAGAGAGGGAAGTCGACCCCGGCCGGCTCGAACACAGGCCGAGCTCCTCCCCCTCCGTGCTCCCCCCTACCCTACCTCCATATGACGAGACTATAGCCACTATATGGGGCTCTTTTTGCAGTGTACGGAGTAATAAGTGTTTGTTGTGTTTTGCCTCCTGTGCTAGATCCCCGGAACATCAAACGATGATGAACAACCATAAAACCAACAAGAGTGAAACTCGACGACGACGACAAATATTCTTTTTGCAAGGGCAACCAACTGTCCATAGGCGAAGAAAAGGCCTCCTCGCAACCACCCCCCGCCAAGTGTTCACATTGATGATTAATGGTTTTATCTGTTGGGAAGTCGGGGCCAACAACTTTCAGGGCCCGGCCATCAAGAGACTCAGACGACATGTTGAACGCCTCGACGGAGAACACGTCGTCGACTTCTCAAGAAAGCTACTTACTTCGCGGTGTCGTAAAAAGAGAAAGAAAAAAAAAAAGAAAAAAAAAAAAAAGGTCAGATGGTTTTTTGTGTTGATGGGCTGGCCGAGAGCAACCAGTCAGAGGGGCAAGTCAACTAAAACTCTACGAGAAAAAGTTAGGACGAACGAACGAGTGACAAGAAGAAAAATTCAATCAAGCCTTTGTTGGAAGGGTTCATCAGTTTTGGACTTTTGGAGGGCGGGGAGAAAAAAGGGCTGTGCAAAAACTGCAGAAGATGGGAATTGGGTCTTTGCACTGAGGTAGGTGGTGTTCCTGCTCCTTCCCACCACCCCCCTCCGCGGCTGCAGACTGCGGTAGGCCGAAACGAAGTACGCGTACGTACGCATGTTCCCTACTTTTGACAGTGACAGTGCCCTTCGTGTTCGTGTGTGTGTTGCAGGACTTCTTACCTTCATTACCTAGGTTTCCCAAGGAATGCTGCTCGGGACCTGGTAGCTTGCTGGTGTCATTGATATGATGTGCAAGTAAAAAAAAGCTCGAGAGTAAGCTTAATGCCAACGTTCAACCCGATAAGCCGTTTAGGCATAACAAAGGGGACCCAGAGAGCGGAATAGAGGAGTAATAGCATACACGGTAAGGTAGTGAGTGAATTGATGTTCTCCCCCATCTATCCATATGCCCCCCTTCCATGGGTTTACCCAGGTCATAGGTCCAGTGCGTGTCCCTGGGTGCGCGGGAAATTTTTGAAACCAAAGGTACGAGAGGAGGTGCATTTACCTTACCTTTCCTTACTGCGTAGAATAAGAAAGGCGGGGGAAGGGAGGGGGGGGGGGAGGGGGGGGGAGGGGGTGGGAGGGGGGGGGAGAGAGGGGAAGATTGATTATCGGTGCAAAGTCTTGTCTCCTGGGTTGCTGCCTTGCTGCGTGTCTCACCGCGGCACTCCGCTCTGCACGCTAGAGCAAGCCCCGAAACACGGGAGCCCGCACCGGACGGTCGGGACAGGTAGCCACAGCTTCGGGGGAAAAATTTTTTTTAATTTTTTTTAATTTTTTTGGCAGCCTGTGATTACTGAGATGTTCCGACTGAGTATTGGATGTTGATGTGTTGAGACTGTACATCGATCGTGACTCCGGGTCACAGTTGGAAGAATCCCCCTCAGAGATGGATATGAGGCAACATCCGTACAGGAAGGGGATAGTTCAGGTCTATATCGTTTTTGTGCTCGTATTGCAGGCTGGACGAACGAGGGCTACACCTTCACTCGATGCCCGGGCTTCTCACGATGTATTCCTAAAATGTATCTACGTGACAGGGCAGAATTCATGTATACTACCATACGCACGTACGATATACCCTCACGCCGAGACAAAACAAATTGATAGGGCGACTAGCGTGTAGCGGAATGCATGACGTCGGGATCTGTCTTGTCCATGTTCACATAATGGCACCAAGCCGGGTCCACCATGCGGCGGAGCGGCCGGGCTCCAGGTCCCGGAGCGTTGGACACCGTCCCGTCGGTCGGGGTGGGGACACACCCGACACTAGGTCTCTGTTGTCCCGCTTGTGTTTCTCCGATCCGCTAATGACTCAGCAGCTTCCCGTCCTTTCCACTGGCAGCCCCCCCTCCCCCCCCCCCCCCCCCCCCCGCCTCCCCGCCATTGTCGACGAGCTCCTCGCGGAAACAATGACCGGAATGCCGCAGGAAAAGAATCGGGCCCAACCGGACAAGACGGAGAACTGAAAACCGTGGCCTTAGCCTTGGGCTTGGGGGTGCTCACCGTTGCTAGAGAGTAGAGATCGGCCTCACCCACCTCCCGCTCCCGTCCGCCTTTGAGGGGTTCTCAACCGAGCTAGATTGAACCCCTCAGTTTGCACCCCTCGCACCATTATTCCTTCTAATCGCCCTCGCACGACATCAAATCACAGCTCTCGGTTGAACACTTGTTCCCAGGGGTCACAGGCAAGCCAAACGGTAAAACCAACAGACAAATGCGCAATTGACCTATGAGATATGGCGCAGACCCCAGGAGAGAGGACGTTGGAGCCCGCAGAGCTGCAGAAACACTGCATTGGTGCACTTATATCCGTACGTTGTGGGGTCCATGTTCCGGTCGTGGTTCCAACAAGCAGAAGCAGGAGGCCGGTCATGAGCACCCACCCACCCACCAACCAGTCTCTACATAGATCCGCATGGGATGTGGGAAACTCGCTCCAACAACGGACAACACTTGCACATTATCTCTTTTTGCAATGGTCTGCCAAGATCTCGCTTCCGCTCAATTGTTGGATAAAACTCCTCTTCTCGCCCACCGCACTTTGCCTTTAGCAGCAAGCCGTGGTATGCAACGTCCGCACCCCCAAGTAGGTGCACATGCAAACTGAGCCCATCGTCCGGGGTCTTTTGCTTGAGGTGCTCCATTGACTTAGGACCGACCAGGCAGGTAACGGGGGCCTGCGTGAATGCTCTCCTCCGTACCAACTGCGGCGCTCCGGAACCCATTCCTGCTGCTGCTTTCTCTGTGTTGGGTGTTGCCTCTCCTGTCTCCTTTCTCCCCTCGTATGTGTGTGCGGTGTATGTGTGTGCGCGTGTATGTTGTCCCTCTCCCCTTTCCCCTCACCATCCGGCCTCCTACTTTCTAGTTTCTACACCATCGCGTCTCACTATCTTCTTCTTCCTCCCAGCTACCTGGGTCGGAATTTGTATATGTTTTCTCTTTACTCGTATGCAGCACATGTCATCTTTTGAGACTTTGCAGAGTGGAGAGCGCGCCTGATGAATTGATTCAGCGTCACATCATTAAGAAAATAACCAAGACCTTGCCAACAAGACTGGAATTTCCCTCTGGGCAACTGACTACATCTCTCTGCAGTTTGCATCGGTATCTCCAACGAAAGCAAACCAGGCTTCGCTCGACCCCGCTCCAACGTCGCGTATACCCGTACCTTACCTTATTACCTACTCAAAAAGACCCCACCGCTTTTACCTAGTGCTATCGCCGGCCGGACCACCTCACACACTTCCCCGTCCTGGTTTCTTCTACCCTCCCGTCGCCTCATCTCACATCACACGTCTCTACCTGCTGGGAAATTCATAGCCAAAAAAAAAAAAAAAAAAAGAGTCGTGCCATATCAAACAAAACTTATCGGAAACTTTTACCTTTGACCTTTGCGCCAATATGTTTGGCACGTATCCCGCCTTGGGTGAGTTTACTATTTTCATTCAGTGCCGGTCATTACCTTACTTCATCTATTCTGAATAAGACGAAAATGACAATCCTTTGTGACCTTTTTGGCGCCTATTCAGAGTCAAACGTCTATTGTAACGATGGCGCCCCCCTATTCATTGCTGAGCGCAAATGGTCATCCGTTTCTCTCTGTTCCCCCCATTCTCCTTCATCATCTCCTCTGCGTCGTCTTGCCTCTGCTTTCCTCTTCCTCGTCTTCCCGAATTACCATATCCTACCGTATCATCCATCAATGCCTCCCACGGCTTTACCTACTCCAACCATAAAACACAGAAGCCGTCAATGCCGTTATCTGTCGTGATCCTGCAACGGGAGCCCATCCCTTCCGCGCTTGATCTACCTCCATTCTTTGGCGCCGCTTCCTTGCCGGTCCGTTCGCGGGGTCGCCTGGTCTCTCGGCCGGCGTCCGCTTTCCGTCGCCCGAATTTCATCTCCCCCGGCATTTTTCACATCTCTGAGTGTCCAGCCAATCGTACCAACGGGTGCCTCTTACACGTTCTCTGAACTGCCAGAGCTGTCGCAGCACTCGGATACTTCAAAGTTGTTCATAAAACATGTCATCCTAACAAGAGCTTCGCTAGCAAATCTGCCAACCGCAGTCAAGATCAACCCGAAGGATATCCCAGCTCCAACGCCGGTCACGCTGCCGCAGAGTCGACCTCAGTTGAATGCTGCTTCGACGTCAGCCGGCCAGAAAAAGCCACTGACTTCAGTCCTGCAGGACATCTATCGCCCCGGTGACATCAACAACGCCATATTCGACGCCTTGGGGGTGCACCTCATCCCGGATGCTCCCACCGCGGATCTCATTCCCGATTCCGCCTACCTGCCCGACTTTGAAGGCTGGGGCAAGCTCTCCCCAGAAGAGGCACGTGAGAAAAACGCAGAAACCCGCGTGGTTCTGAACAATGGCGCCCAGTCGCCCGGCTGCCAGACTTTCCTCGATCGTCAGCGTGAACTATCTCACTCAAACGAGGATGCCTTCCGAACCGTGAGGCGCATCCCCGCGCCCAAGGGGCAGCAGCAGGCTCGCCTCGGCAACTCATACGAGTTCTTTAGGTGTCTCGAGGCCTTTACAACCTATTGGGATGACCCCACGAACCCGTATGTGCATACCGAGGAGGCCGAAGGGGCCAAGGATGTCGTCGTCGTCGTCGACGACGGTGACAAGGCCGAGCGGGACAACCCGAAAACCCCGGAACGACCTCGCATCTTCCGCACCTCGGCCGGCTCATCGATGCCGGGCGAGTACCGCCAGAGCCTGTTGACGGCCTTCCTCAAGCTCGTGGCATACGATTTCGGCTGCAACGTCTCGGCTCCCAGGACGGAACCCCGTCTCCACATCGTCAGCGGGCCGTCATCGCCTTCGTCGCAAACGCAACTCTCCAAGCGCCAGCAAGCTGCAGCAGCCGCCGCTGCCGCCGCAACCCCGAGGACGTCCTACTTCGCCTCCGGATGCACCTTCATCTTCCGCACCCCTCGCACGCGCGAAGCAGCCCGTCAGGGCATCGTAGAAGGGCCCCTGGCCGCCGTTTCCGCGCGCGCGAGCATCTCCTTTGATAAAGAAAACGAAGAAGTCATTGACCTGGCGCGCGAACTCGTCGCCGCCCTCCTCACGGCGCAGCACCGCGCGCGCGAGGGCAAGACGGAGAAGAAATTCGGCGACGGCGCGTGGTGGACGACGAAACCGCGCTGGGGCGGCGGGTCGGGCGGGCCCATTGGTCGCGAGGTCGAGCGGGATGCCATCCAGGGGGACAAGGACGATGCCGCTTCCGCCTCCGCCCCCGCTGCCGGGGCCGCTACCGGGGGAGCGGCCTCGGGAGAAAGGGGCCAGCCCGCGGCCAAGAAACCGCGCAAGAACATGTCCATCTATGATAACTACCGCATGGTCCGCCCGCCGTCGGCCAGCTGGGACCGCAAGACGCGCTACGAGGCCATTGGGAAGGTCAAGGGCGTCGGGTACGACGACGTCTATGTCATCAGCTCTCTGTTCCACCACATTAGCGTCCTGCGCGTGCGTGTGCCGGAACGGCTTCTCGAGGTGCTCGAGGGCGGCGCCGAGCAGGCCCAGACCCAGGCCTTGGCTGGTGATGACGTCCACCGGAGCTGGGGACAGGTTGAGGCACGCCGGAGCCCGTGGTATGATTTCTTTGTGCTCGAGGAGCGGCTTGAGGCTATGAAGCTTGTTTGGTCGCTCATGGGGTGGTTGATGAGAAAGCCTGAGGAGGAGGTGACGGTAGAGAAGACGGAGGAGGATGTCAAGATGGTTGATGCTTGAGATGGGACACACTGGAGAAGAGAGAGGGGAGGGAGGGAGAGAGTGAGTATATTGGATTGGAGTTGGAGAGTGGTTGGTGATAATAGGAAGAGAAGACGAGTGACTTATTTACTTTTCTTGGGCATGGCGAAGCTTGATAGACGGCTGACAATGTCAAAAGACCAAATTTCGATTGCAAATTTTGTATCCCCCCCCTTTTTTTTTTCATGTCACATCTCGGTGTCATCGTTATCTTATAATTCATGTAGACATGATGTTTGCTACGTAAGTAAGTCAATAAACAGCGACTATGTCCAAGACTTGATCTGACAGAAGTCAGGATCCCATGTCGCGAGCGTTATATTCATTCGGCAGCGGATCTGAACATCATGGCTAGCCTCTGAAATGTACAGCAGTACGGCATATCCGCAAGAGAGAGTCAACATTTTAGGAACCAGGCTTCCCCCTATCTTGAATGGCTAGACTTTTCCTCAAACTTTCTTCTTGGCATTCTCTTCCACTGAAACTAGTTTCATTCGTCCAAGGGGAGGGAGGAGAGAGATGGGATGGACTATCTGCCATTCATATCTAGATCCCAAACTATTGGCTTGGCTTTCGTCGAGTGGTAGATAAAGTTCATGCGGGATTGAAGCAAACCCAAATTTTACCTGTCGGTTGTGTCCAATGTCCCAGATTGTCGGTATAACAAGTATCTTTTTTGGGCGAATGCATGTTCAAAAGGTAAAAGTGATGCTACTAAGAAAAATTGCCCTTTGGTGCCCCTACCTAGACGGGCCGCCAAAACCGTGAGAATAAGACGCATGCCTTCAAAGGTACCGAGTCAAAACAATGAACGATTCAGATATCGGATCTATTCCTTGTAGCAACTGCTGAAGACGACCTACTACTCCGTGGGAGAGTCATCTGGCTTTCTTGAGTATTCTCAGTTCATCGTCCCAGCGAGTTCAAGTTTGACAACATGGAATACATCAGAGGCATAACCAAAGCAAAACATTTACTGCCAATGCTTATTACCTCGTGCACTGATCCATCTTATGATCTTCAGTGCAATATCAAAGGTAAAAGGCTACAAAAACACATCACGACAAGATGCTACACGTGCTCCATGCATGGGAGATCACCCGAGGAGCATTTAAACGTCAAAAGTCAAAGAATGCAATTGTCGACAGGGTGATCCCTTACATATGGCCTCGATTCCTGGCCAATCAACGCTCCCCTCCGAAACAAAAAGAGTCTAAATGCAGCGGAATAAATACCTACCAAACCTAGCAATAAGGTACCAAATATGCATTGAAGACATACTACTGCAAGTGGTCCACCCCGTCCGGTTACGAGAAATGTTACGGAACGTCTGTCTCGTGGGCTTCCACTGCGACCCGAGGCGTTTGTCCGCCGCAGCGGCACTGGAATCCGTTCAATATTTGCATATTTGGACATCGTATTCCATCGATTGACTGAGCCTCAAATGATTTGTAGCTTTAGCTCCCTGAGCCCGACTGGCTTTGATTTGATGGTTGACTAAAGCAAAAAAAAAACTAAAAAGAAAAACTGGTGGGCTGGTTTGACGGAAGTAGCATTCGGATACGAAAGCTGAAAAGCCTCGAGATCGTAAAGATCACGGTTATAGACATCACCGCGTCTAAATCGGGCATCGGGGTCCGTTGAGCTGGGCTGAAGACACTGGCTGGTATGATGATGGATCATGAATGAAACCGCTCCAGCAGAGCAGAGCAGAGCAGAGCAGAGCAGAGCAGAGCAGAGCAGAGCAGAGCAGAGAAACCGCCAGACTGAGTGATAAGGACCCGCTAGATATTTCTCCTTTGAGACCTGGTTCCGGAGGAAATTCGAGAAAAGTTCGCATCTAAAAGGATCGCCCTAAATCGAGGTTGAAATGTGGGAAAACGTGAGCCTGAGACCTGTGATATGCTTGTGCATCAACCTTAAAGTCGGCTAACCACACTGTTGGGCGGCAGAAGCCTACCGTGTCTAGCGGTGACGGAAGATGCCACAAGGTCCGCGATGCGTGCGGTGCAGCACGGTCTTAGTTTGACGTCCATTGGCTCCGATGGTAAGGGTGGATGTCCCGGGACGCCGGCGCCATGCAGCCATGCACCAGAGGCTTGGGACAAGATGCCCACGAGGCTTGGTGAAATGCTATGCGCCAGCCGAACGTTGAACTTTTAGCCCATAGCCACGTCTCTCGTAAGTCGACAACTTGCCGTCCAATCGATTTCAGCCACGTTCCCGGGGATGTTGATTAGCTTTGGTCTCCTCAGAGACATGGTCGCATGCTTTCTCTCCACGTTGCCGGTCCACCTCATCTTGGACTTGGATGGACAGGTCTTGCAGAGGTCGAAATTACCTTTTCGAGTCGTTCGAGGGTTTGAATTCGAGACCCCTTGGCGGAATGGAGGCTGCATATACCGTCTGCATACTTCTTGTGCGGTGAGGTGTCAAAGGCATGCACCTACGGATACAGCACATACTGTGAGACATGACCCATCCAGATGAAGTTGTCTAAGACCAGTCAGTTGGGGTCTCGGACAGATGCCGGTGCGACGGAGTTGCTTCTGGACCCCAAAGTGCTAGGTACCAGGGGTAAGAGGGAAAAATGTGAAGGACGATGATTCGTCAGAATTCGACGCGGCCCCTGTCCGTCAGGAGCGCCACAGTGATCGGCAATCCCGTAAGCTTACCAGATTGAGATCGGGGAATAAACGAGTGCGTACTCGAGCTCCTATCAACCTCAGTTGTCGCGCTCTGAATTCTCAGTGGCGCTGTTTTGCTGGGATCGCGCACCGAAACGGTTCGAACGAGGGACGGGAATCCCCTCGTACGACATGAACAGCGCGTCCGTCACCATCGACGGCGCGCTTTCGCTAGAGCCCAAGCTAGAAGACTGCTGTTACTCAAACAGCGATGAGACGGAAAGTTGAGGTTGCGTGCAGCCGACCAGGTATGACAGCACCAGGCTCGGTTCAGTCAGTGGCTTTGATGCGGGCAAGACAGCTTCAAATTCGGTGCATCCTCTGTGACGAAGTTGGAGACGGGATGGATGCTCTGGAACGACAAGGGTGTCGATATCGATCTGCGAAACGTTTGGAGAGCTCAATTGGCGATGAATCCCGGCTCATGTTGTCTATGGCTCCTGGTTGGACCATCTGCCACGACCGTCAAATTGGTAATGAGCCCGAGGCCAGCCAGAAGACTGCCGTTAGAAATGGAGCCATGTAGCATCCGATTGAGTAGTGACACTAGTTGACGGGATGATGACCGGGCTGCCCCAACGTTACTAACGTCGGATCCCGACAGCGAGGAGCGACAGCATGACATGTTGACCGAGCGGCTCAACAGCCGGGGTTCGAAGCGAAGCGGATGGCTTTACCGCGCGGAGGCAGCCGACTCTAATGCAGTCCGAGCTGTGGTACTATCGTGAGGCGCTTTCAGCAATGGGCAAACGACTCAATGTTTGGCTCGACTGACGCGATATGGCGTCTAAGTGTGCCGTTGTAGGTGAGTAGCGCGGCATAGCCCTGCTGGATCGGCGTAGGGCGGTCAACTTTGGCGTCAAGTCTCAGCTTGACCGGGGCAGAGAGTTCAGCGGGACTATCATGGTCGGGTGGAGACGACAGCAGCGCCAGGGCCATGGACCAAGATCGAAGTAATGTATTCGTAGTCTAGAGCGATTGCTTGGGATGGGCGGGAGTGACGCAGATGGTGGAGGTGAAGCTGGATGACGGTGTTGGACTTGGACAGCCCCTTGGTGCCCTTATGCGCTAGGGTCAACCAACCGTGTAAGGGAGGGCGAGGCGGTGGGTGGTTAGTTTGTAGTTCGTTGCCATATTGAACATGCTTTGCTTTGGTGCGGTTCCGTTTTGGTGACCATTGCCGAGACGTCTCGGGGAATGAAGTTAGGTTCCGTTCCCTGGGTCACATATCGAGTTGAGGATGGCTGCGGCTGAAGACAGTGCAAGGGTCGTCTTGAATTGGCGGGCAGAGTGAAGATTGAAGACTCAGAGAGAGGAATGTGAAAACCTGGAGGGCAACGAGCAACAAGATTTGCAGTCCGAGTGTGCCAGTCTGGACCCAAGGTAACCGACCCAAGGTATCCGTTACCTACACAGACTAACGGCAGTATTCATGAATGCGAAATGACGACGATGCAGAGAAAAGTCCGAATGTTGCACGTAGTTCCTACCTTGGTAGGCAATAGGGTGGTAGGTACTTCCCGTCGTACGCATGGCAGGCCGCAGGGCAGGGCAGGGCAGGGCAGGAACGGTAGCACCGAGCCCCCCGCCAGTTACCCAGGCATCAGGTCAGGGACGGAGACGGTAAGGTAGGGACGATGGACGCGACATCCATCACATGGTGACATTTGGTGGCATCGCAGCAGGTGCTGTTTACAACTAAACCCTAAAACAGGATTAGTGCCGTCAACTGTGCCCCATTTCTCGGTTCTCACCGGGCTGGGAACAGCCTTGGTATGGCCCGTGCTCGTGGCTGATGGTCTGCACCTGCCGTGGTGCGGCGCGCCCTGCGTTTTTTCTTCCAAGTGCAAGTGCATCTCCGGTGCAGACTGCAGAGTAAGGTACGAAGTGCAGACCCTGTCCCGGCCATGTTTTGCTTAGCTAAGGCACCAAAAACACCATCAACACATCAGATGCCGTGGACGCAGCGCGCAAAGTAAGGTGGACGGCCGATGGTAGGCCGCAAGAAAAGGTACACGGATCCACCTCCGCTAGCAAAAGACTCTTGGGAACTTGGGCTTTGAGGGCCGTCCCTGCCGTTTCTTCCGTCAAAGTCCAATCGCCTTGGTGCCCCGGCCTGCCACATGCCGTTGCTTTCCTCGGCGCCTACGACGACTGATCCAACATTACATAGTCTTGTTAGCCCTACAGTCATCATCTACCTCCACTTTGGGATTCTCTTTCCACTTTACTACCTTGTTCTCATGTTTGTTTGTTCTCGTGCTTGTTCAGTCCTGGTCTTGTAGTGCAGTGAGTGTATCTGATAGTGTAATACTTCGCAGTGTAAGGTAAGGCATGTTGTGTGGTTAGATTGTTTCTTCCCCGGCACCCCCCCTCCCCGCCAAAGGCCCAAAACACATCCAGCCCAGCAGAAGGTGAAGGTGGTGGACAGTGGACCTGGTGCGTGCCGACAACCTTAGCTCGAACCCCTCCACCACACACCCACGCCGCAACGCCGCAACGCCGCGGCGCATCTTGAGCCTTGAGCCTTGAGGTACCCTGCTCCTGGTCCTCCTACCTTACGGATACTCCAGCACATTCTACATTCCTCACATTCCTCACATTTCTTCACTCCTCCAACCCGAACACTCCGTTCACTCCATTTTCTCCTTCTTCCATCACCTCAGCTCGCTTTCTGTTCGAGGCTGTATTGCATATCTGCGCCGTCATTGCTTTTGGCTGCCACCCCAGCTCACACCTCTGTTGCACCCAGCTAGCTACTGAATCATCGTCCATCCTAAATCTACCTACCCAACTGTACCGAGTACCTTTGCCTAAGCTCTGCCGTCGGCAAAAGCCGTCTTCTACCCAATCCGTCTCACAAGCCGGCTCCAAAGCATCAAAAGAGTCAGCTAGGGTCCTTAGCCACCCTTGCTGCAGGATCCCTTTCCCGCTTTGAGATAGAACCCTCAGCTAGCCCTTCTCCTCATACCGTAACCTACTGGTAAGCTTGTCCACGCTCCTCCAACCAGTTTCGCGCTCCAGGAAGGCTGACACTGCTCTTGTGCTCACCAACTTAGTCTCGAGACCTAACCACGCGCATTCTCGTCCCGTTCCTACACCTCAACCACGACCTCCTCGCTTCCCCTCACCATCTTCTGAACTCGCGACAACCCTACTTCAGCTTCGTCGCCCATCTATAAAGACGTCCGACCCCGAAATCCTCCTTGCCAACCCACTCCTCTTCGAAGACCATCTCGCCGATTTAGAACCTACCTCCCACCTCGGCTTGTCGGCCTCGGGTCACCAAATACACACAGATCGGGTCTGAGGAAAGTCTCGCCGTCTAGACAACATGTCAGGATACCCGGGCCAGTACGGAGGATACCAAGGCGGCCCGCCGCCGCAGCAGCAATATGCGCAGGGCGGTTACTACCCGTATGAACTTCAATCTTCGTTTTAGATGTGCGCGCTTCGCCACTAACATGAACAAAAGCCCTCCACAGCAAGGATACAACGGATACCCTCCCGCTGGGTCGGGGTACGGTTACCAACAGCCGTCGCCTCAACCCTATGGATACAACCAGGTACGGCTGTCTGCCAGCGGTGCCTATGTCTCGTCAACTAATGTAATCTTTAGCCCCCTCCTCCTCCTCAACAATACGGTGGATATCAGCAGCCTCCGCCTCAACCGAACTACAACAACCGCCCAGGTGAGTTTGAAAGCTGGACGTCCAATATGGAAACCATAGAGTTAACAACTGTCGTTATGCAGGAGTACCCACCGCGGACTCAAATGCTTACATGCACGGAAACCACAACGCTCCGCCGCCGCCGCCCTCAGCACCACAGAGATTCGGACATGGCGCGCCTACCAACTACAACTTCCAGTACTCCAATTGCACCGGCCGGAGAAAGGCGTTACTGATTGGCATCAACTACTTCGGCCAGCGCGGTCAACTGCGTGGCTGTATCAATGATGTGAAGAATATGTCGGCGTACCTCGTCGACCGTTTTGGGTATAAGAGGGAGGATATGGTTATCCTCACTGACGACCAGCAAAATCCCATGAGTCAGCCTACGAAACAGAACCTCCTCAGAGCCATGCATTGGCTTGTGAAAGACGCGAGGCCCAACGACTCCCTTTTCTTCCACTACTCAGGTAAGCTGCGAAAAACAAGACGATTCTGCTGATGGACACTAACACCTCCAGGTCACGGTGGTCAAACAAAGGATCTGGACGGCGACGAGCCTGACGGATACGATGAAGTCATTTATCCGGTAGATTTCCGCCAAACCGGTCATATTACAGACGATGAGATGCACAGAATCATGGTTCAACCTTTGCAGGCTGGCGTGAGATTGACTGCTATCTTCGATTCTTGTCACTCGGGTACTGCACTCGATCTCCCTTACATCTACTCGACCCAGGGTATCCTCAAGGAGCCCAATTTGGCCAAGGAGGCCGGCCAAGGTCTGCTCGGTGCCATATCGTCATACAGCCAAGGCGATCTGGGCGGTGTGGCAAGCAACATCATGGGCTTCTTCAAGAAGGCAACCACTGGCGAAGATGCTTACAACCGCACCATGGCCACGAAGACGTCGCCTGCTGATGTGGTCATGTTATCAGGAAGCAAAGATGACCAAACTTCGTATGCTACCCCCTTCTTTCTGTTTTGATGATACCCTTTTTGTTTTCATTGCGCTTTACCGATTCTCTGGAGAGTTCACAGAAAAGTCCCTTGATTGTGTACTACTTCCCCTGGTGGGATGGCAAATTCTGGATAATGGAGGCGAAAGCCAAAAAAAAAGTAAAAGTCTGGGGCGTGCATGTCTTCTTAATATTTTCTTCTCATATTTTCTTTACTTTATACCCGCTATTCCAGGTCAACGATAATCTTAATGCTCTAGAACAAATTGCAGCCTACTTGCGGCTGTGGTTTGATTCTAGAGCGACGAGTCACGTTAGATCTGCCTCAGTCCACGAGTGTGGAAAGAGCGATGACATCAAGGCGAACCTCTAGAACGCTATCAGCAAGTTGGATCTATACTAATATCATCTCGCAGGGCCGATGCCACGATTGCTTCTCAGGCTACCGGCGCCATGTCGTGGGCCTTCATCACGGCCATGAAGAAGAACCCTCAACAGAGCTACGTGCAGCTCTTGAACAGTATCCGTGACGAGCTTTCGACCCGCTACACGCAGAAGCCTCAGCTCTCCTGCAGTCACCCTCTGAGTATGTGTCCTCTATCGAAAAAAACGAACGAACATCTCTGTTATTACCACAGCTAACATCATCGCAGACACCAACCTCTTGTTCGTCATGTAAATCATAATCCTGTGTGTCAACGGCCGGTCCGCCTTGTATATGTCATAATGCCCTACTTCGGCCTGGAAACATAAATACTCAGGGTTGGTTAGACGTAGGCAGGTATAGGTCATCATTGGAAAAAGGAATCGGTTGGGATGGCGAAAATTGAGGATTTTGGGTATCATTTGGGTGGTTTCATTTTGTTTTTCTGGGCAAGTCTTCTTTGCCACACTCTGACGCCTATCCCGTCTCTCGCATAGCTGAGATGCCAGGTACCCTCACTCGACTGGTTCCCAGAACTAGACAATAAAAAGTTGATTTGCGTCACTTCGACAAGGGATATCGTCAAGTTGTTTGGGAAAAGCAAGCAGGGGATTAAACGTCTGTTTCGGTATTCATGCCTCCTTTTCCAACTTCTTCATCATGCAACCTAATGCCGTGCTTGGAAAAAATCCATGTCCTAAACCCAAACAAAGTAAAAATATGACAAAAACTCCTTTCCCATCCTTTCCCCTTCGCCCAGTCATTCATTCTACCAATAAACCAACCAAAGGAGAAGAAAAAAACAATGTTTTATGCTCGACGCCCAATACGCCAGAAGAGGGGACATGAGCAATGTGCCAACTGCCAAGCAGAGGGCCAATGACCGTCCTGATTTCCCTCTCCTCCCAGTTGATCCTCCGTCCACTCTGGGGCTAGCTTGCAGATCCCTTTTTACAAACGCGGACGATCATCAAACTCCCCAAGGAGGAAAAAGAGATGCCTCGCTCGCTTACACTGCAACGTCAAGGGTATTGCAGTAGGTAACACTGGCTATGCAAAAACAAAAGAAGGGCCTTGGACAGGACAAGACTTGAACACCAAAAATGCTAAAATGCGAATGCGGATGTTGCTGAATGAGGGAAGTGGGTGAGCGGGATGGGGATGTGCAGGGCCCCCATGGTGTGTGGTACCGGTAGCCACGACTGGTCCGAGATGATGCTGCGACATCTTCAGCTCGGCTGCAACGTGATGAATAGGGAAGGCGTTTCGCAGATGAGGGTTACCCTCTCGCAGACATCCGAAGCACCCTTCACCATCCCGTCCCATTCCGTCCATCCACCGTTTTTCCCTTCGGGAACACCATACTCCGGGGGTATCTAGGGCGTGTAATCTGGGCTGGACCTCCAAGTCGAGGCTAGGCGGTACCGAATAGGAGACAAGATAGACTGTGACCAACAACAAATCTTCGTTCAGGCCGCAACGTCGTCGGCATGCACGACCTTGAGCTGCTGCCGCCTCTTGCTCTTGCGCATCTCGTCGACGCAGTCGGCCAGCTTCTGGCGCGTGGCCTCGTGCTTGGCCCATTCGCGCGCCGAGATCTGCATCCTGGCAATGAAGCGCGCCATCGTCGCCACCGTCTTGAGCGTCGGGCGGCCGGACGACGCCGTCTGCTTCCTCGCTGTCGACGAAGAGGATGGTGGTGGGAGCGGCCTGCGGCTGCCGAGCAGCTCGCAGCGAATCTGCTCCAACTCACGCAGCTGAGCCTTGTTGCTGATTCTGATGTTAGTATCTGGACCACTAAAGGGAAGTAGACAGCAAAGGGTACATACCATGCGTTGGCAATGTCCAGCTCCAGCTGCAAAAACTTCTTCGCGTACGCCGCGTCGGCGCGCATGCTGACCTCACGCTTCCACCGCGCCTGCATCCACTCCATCTGCAGCGTCATGCCGCGGAGCTCCTTGGTGTGCCTCGCGTCCGCGTTCTCGGCGGCGCGGATGACTGTCTCGAGCGCCTCGTCCGTCTGCCTCATTCTCTCGTCCGTCTCGGCGGCGAGTCGGGCTGCCCGCGGGTTCTTCTTCTCGGCCGCGGCCAGCGCCTTGAGGTCCCTAATGTCCTTTTGCAGCTTCTCTGCGGTCAGGCGGTATGCCGCGCGCTCGCCGCGTGCCCTCTCGAGCTTGCGACGAAGGGAGCCCTCAGCGGCTGTCAGCTCATCAATGGTCTCCTGTTGCTGGATGACGTCGTGTTCGAGCGCATCTGCTTCGCTTTGTGTTTTACGGAGCAATTCCTGAAGGTCTCTCTTCTCCGAGGACGACATGTTTTCGATGTTGTGACGACCGTGGGCTACAAGCTGACGGTCTTGCTCTGCCTTGTCAAGCTTCTGCTTCAGACGACGGAGAGCCTTCTCGTGAAGAACGGAAGCTTCGTCGGCGTCGCGCTGGACATCTTCCAGGGCCTGCTCCAAAGCAAGCTTCTGATCCTCCAGATCATCAAGCTGGGTCTGTACATCTTGCTCGAATTGAGAGGCTTTGCGTTCGGCATCGCGGGCCTTGGTCTTGAACGTCTGAATCGATTGCTGTGCTGTAGATAGTTGATGGCGCAGCTCAGTGACTTCGGATTTCCTGGCTGAGGGACTTGAGGATGCTGGAGACGTGATGAGGCGGGACATCTCAGCATCGTGGGCATTGCGCTCCAGCTCTGCGATTTGCTTCTTGAGACCCTTGACAACATCCTTGTGGGCTGCCTCACGCTGGAGGAGCTCACGCTCCTTCTGTCGTGCCGTGGAGAGATCACGGCGAATGATGGACATGTCGCTGTTCCCATCACCGATGTTAGCGGGAAGTTGTTGGGTCATCGCAAGCTGGTCTTCATAGTCTCTGATTCGCCGTTCGAGCTCCCGTATCGTGCGTCGTGTCGCAACTGACTCTTGACCTTCTGACGAAGACACTTCCCGCAGCCTGGCTTGAAGCTGGCGAATCTCCTGGTTGAGGCGATCCTCCTCTTCTGCGGCCTTCTCGATCTCGTCTTCGAGAGACTTTTCGACATTCTGCATTTGCTCGGCCAGAGCAGCATTCTCGTCCTTTAGTCTCCGTACTTCATTGTCAAGCTTCAGCTTTGACGTCCTCAAGTCTAGGCGTTCTCGGTCGATGCGGAGTGTCTCTTCGCCATTCTGGTGCAACCGCTTCATCTCGCTTTCAACCTCGTCACGCTCCGCCCTTGCTTCGGCCAATGAGCTGCGCAAAGAATGCATTTCGAGGTTCAGGTTGGCGAGTTGATCTTGCAGCGTTTGCTTTTCACGGGACACCCTGTTCACCTGCACAGTCGACTCGGAGATTTGAGTTTGCAGCCTGTCCTGGAGCGCTTCCTTCTCCTTCTTCAGCTTCGACACGAGTGATGTAGCCTCGTCCAGCTGAACTCGAAGTCGTTCGATGGTGTGGGTTGACTTGCTGGCGTTCTCTTGAGAGACCGAGGCCGTACCACGGTGTACCTCATCGAGCTCCAGCTTTAGAGCGTCGCATTCTTTTCTTGCAGCTTCCAGTTCCTCGCGAGAATGCTCTGATTCCTCGTCCAAAGTTGTTTGGAGGACCTCCACTTCATCCTCCAGTCCCTCGATCTTCTCGCTCTGCGCTTGGTAGTCTAGCTGAGTTTGTCGGAGCTCATCCTGAACTTGTGATAATTCATTCCGCAACTCATTGAGCATAGATTGCCGTGTCTCGAGATTTTGCTGAAGGTCCTCGATTTGCCTTGTGAGGGATGCTCTTTCGTCCTTGTGGCGTTGAGCTTCACTCTCTAGTGCTTCCTGCAACCTTGATTCCTTGGTTGATAAGTTGCCTTCGGCCTCGCGCAGAGCTGCAATCGTCCTTTCCAGCCCTGAGGCCTTCTCCTCTGCCCGTTTGCGTTCCGAGTCCAGGGTTTGGCGGTCCGTTTCCCATTTTTCGCTGTCGTTGTCGTAGAGATTGTCCTTCTCCCGAATCTCAGCCTGGAGGTCCGAGATCTCGTCATTAAGCCTGTCGATCTCATCTCTGTACTGGCTGCGTATATCCCGTTCGATTTCAAGGGCATGGTCCCGCTCTTGGGCGAGGCTCTCCTCCAAGTCGGTAACGTTCTTCTGTAGGCGCGTGACATCCCGTTGAAGAGAGTCAGACTCGCCTGTCAAGGCCTCATGACGACTCTGCAGCAGATTCTTCTCGTCGAGCCTGGACTCCAAGTCCCTTTTGAGGTCCTCCACTTGAGCCAACAGTGACTGGCGTTCGCGATCAGAGAATTCCCGTTCTTGACGACCCTCATACGCGGCATTCTTGAGGCTGTCCTTCTCTGTCGTTATGTCGGAAAGCTGCTGTTCGAGTCTGGCAAGTTGTGACTGGTGGTCGCGCTCTGAGGCTTCGCGGGCGCGGCGATCTTCCTTGGCTGCGCTCTTGAGCTCATCATTTTCCTTGATCGTTTCGGAAAGCTGCTTTTCGATACTCGCGAATCTGGTGTCGGCTTCCTCCATCTCAGCCTGCAGGCGCAACAGCTTCTCCTCCTTTTGACGCGAGAGCCCCTTGGTGGCTATTGACTTATTTGCCAACTCCTCTTGGAGTTCTTCCAAATCACCCTTTGCTTGCTCCTTGTCTGCAATCGCCTGGTTGAGCTTGTCCTTCATCTCTTCAACTTGCTCTTCCAAGCGACGGACATTGGTTTCCAGATCGTCGATGGTGTCTTTTGCCTCCTCCAAATCCTCGTTGGACTGTCCCTGTTGCTCAAGCTCGATCATTCGTCTTTGAGAGTCCTTCATCTTGTCCTCCACGTCTTCCAGCTTCGCCTTGAGGTCGTCGATTTCGTCCTCGTGGTCCCCAAGAAGGCGCTCCTTCTCGCGAAGTTCTGCTTCCAGATCACCGATCTCATCTTGCAGTTTGTCCACCTGCCCTTGATCGTGCTGTCCCTGACCTAACTGGCGCTGCATGTCGTCGAGATCGGCTTCTCTATCCTCCAAAGCTTGTTGTAGTCGCTCAATCTCTGCCAGCTGTTTCTGGTCTGCGTACTTCTTCTTGGCTCTCTCTTGTAATTCCATCATCTGCTGTCGGTAGCTTTCGAGGTCCTTCTCAGCCGACGTCAAGTGCTTCTTGTACTTGTGAAGCTCCCTCGTCATGGTCACCTTGTCGACCTTCAGCTCGGTGTTCTCCTTTAATGCCGCCTCGCTGAAGCCGGGACCGGCCTTCCGTAAAGCCTCCTCGAGGAAATGAATCTTCAGTTTCAGGCCAAAGTTTTCCTTTTCGATTTTATCGATTACGCTCTCCTGCTCCCGTAGCGACAACTGGTTCCCGTCCTGCAGAGGGCCCTTCCCGTCGCGTCGCGGCAACACTACGAGCGGTGTAGATGCAGTACTCGTGCTGTCGACCTCGGGGAGTGGCGTGCGATCCACAAAGGACCGGGACTGGTACATGGAGGTGTCGATGTTGGGAATTGGCGTCATGTCCTCGTCGATTTTGTTGAGTGCGGGCGTGTTCGGCACGGCGCCATTCTCCTTGCCAGACCTTCGACGGATGCTATTTCGCGTGGCAGACTTCAGCATAGGAGTGAATTCTGCTCCTCCAAGGCCTGCAGGTAGGTTTTTTCGGTCCGCAAAGGGTCCGCGACCCCGCGGTGTGCGAAGGTTGATGCCTCCCGAGCGCCCGTTGCGCATTTGTTGCACCAAGTTGTTTTCTTTCGCCGGGGGAGATTGAAAGGACATCTCTTGCGACATGTCGAAGTCGGGTTGTCGGCTGAGGTATGTCGCATCGCCAAGGTTTGTTCGCGGCGTGTCGAGGCCGCCGATACCTGGGGCGACCATCTTGACCGCGTTTAACTTATAGAGGGGGGGGGGGGGGGAGTCGACGAGCGATTAGAATTGCGATCTCGTAGGTGTGGTCATAACATTGAGTTGGCAGTGGTATATATGATCGGCGTGCGCTGTGGTGGTGCGAAGCAGAAGCATGAAAACAAGTGCAATGCGAAGCAGAAGCTATAAGATCTTGTGTGGTTGCGATAGCTCAGAACCCGGTCGGTCGCGGTGTTGATAGTGGACGGGACTTTGAATGAGCAGCAAGGGACCAAGGGTACACGGTCACATCCCAGACCGCGTTGTGAGTGTTGTTTACTCGTGTTCCTATCTCGGACTAGCGTGGTGGGACAAAGCGGGAACAAATCGTGGTTTTTTTGACCAATGGAAAGAACGGTTGTTGCGTCCAATCAGATAAGAGGAAACGGCAGGTTCTCCGCAGTTTAAGAATCCCATGGGCCATGCTGGCGCAGTATGCCCTTAAAGAGATTATGACCTTACCAGGACAGTCCATCAGCAGCCTGCCTTAAGTCTGACAAGTTTTAGGAATAAACATTTTCTTGATGAATGTTGCCGCTTTAAAACGGCTGTTTGGATACTCTGTCTCTGAGAGTCTCTTAAGGTATTTTGAAAAAGGAAATCAAGTACGAAAAGGAAGGTAGGTATTACCTGCCGCTGCGTAATTACATATACTGGATAATCGATTCTATGCCAATATGCTGGTTTCATTATCGGGGTACTGTTCTAGACCCCTCCCCGGGTAGGAACGTCAGTGAGGGTGGTGGACCTTGCTGCTTTCCACAGGGCAGCTTGAGACACTACGGATACATGTGGGAAAGAACCTCCCATTGATTTGTGATGCAACCACTTCACACCGCAAGCGTCAAAACGTCACTATCCAAGGTACTTTCGATCAAACCGACCCCGGGACGACCATCTCACAGAGACGACTGCTATCAAAATTTCCTCCCCATTTGAAGTCGTCTTCACAGCTCGCACTTTGATTCCCTGCGGCATCTATCTGTATAAGTCCTCCACAAACCCCACCAACCTACCCCGATTGCGATTGCGATTGCGACAGCATCCATCCCCGGTCTTCTTCGGTGATCTCTGCCCGTCGAATTCAAAGTGTGCGCATGAGGCTTCTGCCGCCATGCTCTCATTTGACCAAATCCCAGATGAAATCATCCACCAAATACTACATTACATCTCACCAGAAGACAACTTAGTCTCAGTGAGCCCCCTGTCGAAACGCCTGAGCCGGCTTTCCAACGAGCCGATTTTGTGGCGATACTACTGTTTGCACGCCTTCAAGTTCTGGCATCCTAGTCACAAGTTCAATGAGAAACTCGACGAGCCTGCGTCCAGCGTTCTATGGAAGCAGTTATTTCTATTCCGCAAGAGAAGAGACGCCAAGGCTGCAAGCCAGTTCAGTGGAATATTGGCCACCAAACATGGCCGAGTAAGGAATTTTGAAGATATCTGTTTGCTTGGTCTTGACGCCAAGGACTTTCTCTTGGATCAGGCCCAGACCCCAGATCATGTCGAAGATGTCCTGGCCAGAAGGTAGGTTACTTTCGATACAACGTTCATTGGCGCTGTCTAATCAACTCCGCCCAGGTATTTCAGTAATGCCATTCTCGCCAGTATGCGCCGCGGGACCGCCATTCAAATTTGGGACGACCTTCGCAGTGATGAGGCACACGAAGCCTGGATACCCAACCAAGTTCCGAAAGTTGTGCCCAGAAGGCTAGAGCGCGCGCTTGCTGCTTTTGACATGTTTGTCATACAGGGCGACGTGGGTGATATAGATCACGTAGGTCATCAGCCGGTCAACATGTTATATGCCTCCTTGGCGGCTAACCCTTATGGCAGGTTTCCAGGCTTCTTGACAAACTCGCAGCCGACTTCCGGAACAGTCACCCCGAGTTCGATGGGCTTTGCGTTCGGGAAAGGGCATTGACTCTGAATCGTTGGGTCAGATCCAACAATCTCACCGGTATGGTCGACCCTGAGACCAACTATCGCAACCTACGGAACTGTCTCCTTGGTCATGCGCTGCGAAATCCGGCTCATCAGTCGCTTCCAATGGTTTCAGCGGCGATTTTCTGCTGCGTCGGCGAGAGGCTGGGATTGAACGCCCACTGCTGTGCCCTACCAGGTCATGTGCTTGCGATGGTCTTTGCGACGCCAGAAGTCACATTGGATGGCTCCAGAGTCACGGATCCATCAAGACAACTTGAGAGGATGTACTTGGATCCATACGGTGGCGATGAAGAGTTCAATAAGGAGACACTACGGCAGTTCATTGCCCAGGTCGGGTGGCATAGTCTAGATGTCGAAGCAATGGCCCCGGCCGCCGTATCAACCATGATTGGGCGCCTCGCACACAATATACGGCATACCAACCTCGTTTACACGTCTCAGGACGTGTCTATAGAGAGATTGGCTGGACTCGAGGCTGGGACCGCTCTCCAGAACCTTGAGTTATCCGTCTACGCCGCCGCCTGGGCAACAACTCTCCTGGACCCGGATGCTTTCGTCGATGTGACATCGCATTTCGCCCTACGATTCAACTCACTGCGCTTTGATGACGCCTGGATTGTGGAAAAGATTTATACTACCCGGCCTCAACCGCATGGCGATGTGTTTCTTGCTGCTCCGAATCCAGAATACATCCTTCGCCTCATTCGCCGGGCAGATGAGAAGCAACCTGTGATTCGTGACTCACAGACGAACCTGGAGTATAAGATTGGCAATGTTGTCCGGCATGGCAGATACGGCTTTGTTGGGGTTGTGACCGGCGGGGAGACGGCTCCTCAAGGATCGTTCCTGTACTACAGGCTATTGTGAGTTAACAGACGAGACTGACGAGACTGACGAACAAGGACAAGATCGCTGACCAATATATCAGGACTCCTCCAAACATGCAAGGGACCTTTTCTTTGGTCAAGGCCTCAAGCCTCGAACTCGTGCGCGACCCTGAAGAGGCAGAAGCAGCCTTGTTCCCCGACACTGGATTATTCTTTAGGCGATTCGATAGAGAAAGGTGCACATTAATCCCTTCCAACGACGAGGTGGTCTATACGCCAGTGTAAGCACTGGGCGTTGTGGAGTTTGACAGCTGAAAGAAACCGAGGCTTTACTATTTCACCAGAAGTTCTGCCTCATGAATAAAGAATGTGAACGTCTTGCACACACGTATGCCCCTCATCCCTGCCTTCTTAACAGGCAGAGGGACGGCCGTGGTGTTCCATTACTTAAATAGACTTGCTGCTTTGCCGAAGCTACATGCAAAACCATCTATTCTTTTTTTTCCAGACCAGAAACGCCCCTGAAGTGCAAATTTTATATCGACCCCCTCGCAATACCGTGCTAACATCGTCTCTCCCCTTTGCAAGTCATCCTAGGAGTTGGCTGCCCAGTCTGCGAGCACACCATGCTCCGCCAGCTTCTGCACCCAGGAGTGGATCGCAGGAGTGTGATCCTTCTTCCGTCCCTGCACACGGTCATCGTCCTCTTTCATGAAGCCAATTTCGGTATTGTACTCTCCGATCAGAGACTTCTGCTTCGTCACAAGATCGTCGTAGAAATTGAAGAGCTCCGCCATATCTGTGGATGACTTGGCAATCTTTCTCTCGAATGCTGGGTCCACGCGCGCCTGTTCAATATCCAATCCTGAAATTCCAAAGCCGGCGAGGCGCTCAATCTCGGAGCTCTTCAGAGGCTGGCTATTTCCGGCAACGAGACTCTCCCAGCCGTCGAGGTCCTTGGTACGGCTCTCCAAGAGCTCAAACGAGCGGATCGTGCTCGCGAGTTCCCCCGACAAGATTGTCAACGGGCTCTTGCAGAGCGCGAGGAGATTGAAAGAGAGGGCATTCTCCTCAAACTGGAGCATGCGCGCCTGGATCTCGGGCTGGACCAGATTCGCCCAGTGGACGCCCGTTTCGAGGGGTCCAAGGCACACGGGCCTCGTCTTGAGACCATCCAGCTCCCAGACCGAGCCGTTAGCCGGTACGTAGGCGATGAAGTGGAACCCGGACTCGTCGTCAATCTTTTGCTTCTTGGTTCGCCTCGTCTTCTTTGCGGGACCCCTGCGCTTCGTCGTCTTCTTCTTCTTCTTGGACTCTGAGGCCTCGGTCTCCAGGAAGAGATCGGCGTTGAGGTGGTCCATTCGCCGGGTGAAGGAGTTGTGGACGGAGCGGATGAAGGCGTTTGTGCTCAGGGCGTGGCCGCGGAGAGGAGTGCTGAGGCTGTTTGTGGAGTCTTTAAAGGTTTGGAGGTCTTTTCCGAGGTCGAGTCCTGGACTGTTCATGAGGATGTTTGTCATGGCGACGGTTGCGCAGGCGTTGTCTGTCGTCTGTGTGGCTTTGTGTGAGTGAATCTTGCGGTCGAAAGAGGGAAAAGGAGAGGGACAAATGAAAAGACATACCTGATTTGCAAACCAAACATCGCGGCTATCGACGACGGCGTCGTCCTCGTAGTTCTCAGAGAAGTATTGGTAGAGAAAGATGAGGCCATAGACGGGTTGCGGAAGAGTCGCGACGTAGTCTTCGTCAACCGTAAAGACCTCTTGGACCTTGACATCCTTGACGCCCATCTCTCGTAGCATAGCATTGAAGAAGGCCTATGAAGGTATTCATTAGTCTGAGAAGTAAAGCTGGGGTAGATGGTGGGGAGCGCGGTTCAACGTACAGGTTCAGATTCCACCTCACACCAACCCTCCCATTCCTTCAGCTCGTCCTTGTCCAGGGGCGCCAGAGATTCACGGAGAAGCGTCTGGTAGTCTCTCGCCTCGTGAGAAGCGGCAGCGGTGGTTGCGGCGGCGGCTGTCTCGGTAGCCTTCCGCTTCGGATTCCGCCTTGAGTTGGCGGCCATGGCAATGGCAGTGGCAGCAACAGCTTCGCCGTCATCCTCACAGGGCGATTCCTTCCTCTTCCGCAGCCGAGGGGGCTCCGGCGAGGGATCAGGCTCGCCTGCTACCGCGAAAGCGACATTGGTGTGCTGCTGCGGGCTGGACTGGATTGCGTAGATGTCGCGTTCGTGGTCTATAGGTGAGGGGACGTCAGATGTTTGTTGGACTTTGGTCGTTGGAGGCACGACGACTGCTGCGCTTGCCTGGCGACTTCGCAGCTGCCGTCGAGGCATGGGAGGAGGCGTTGGCGCTACTGAGGCCATGACTATACGCGCCGCTGTGGTGTAACGTTTTTGGTTGCTTGTTTGATAATTTCCGAATGAGAAATTGCGAGTGAAGAGTGATTCTGTAAGAAGCTCGTAGAAAGAGTTGGTTTGAGTAGGTGGTGAAGGAGGTATGCAGTTGTGAGTGGGGGAGAAAGGGTTACAAGAAGGTGAGCAAGATCAAGATGGTGTTCGGCGGCCAATCGATTTAATTGGAAGAAGACGGTAGGAGACCTTGTCTAATGATGATGGACAAACATTTCGTTGTTGGTTCAGTCAATTGAAAGTGCCTTTGCTATGAGGTTGCCATTGAGGACCAAGGACAAAGTCAAGAAATTTACAAATGAGACTTCTGGGATAAATTAGGAGCATGAGTTCCATTTACTACCACAAACTTGAGGCTCTCGTTGTGGAAGGAACGACATGGAAAAAATGGGAAAATAGATCATCCTTTGTCATAGTAATGCAGGGTAAAACAGCACCTATTTGACAAGAGAAGATGCAAAGCAGACTTACCTCCTCTGTTACATGTGACGGCTTGACTTGGAAAGGTATTCATTTCTCATCAGGCCTCCTACCTACTTGACCTCATACATGGATGAATTGACCTATTTCCTCGAGCCAAGGCAACTGAGTCGTTGCTTCTATGCTCACTTTGGATTTATATGATTGGTGATAATAGGCGGCTGTACAGGTGTTGTGTCAAGATAAGCTTCAGAACGCGGCGGGGATCGGCCATCGACAACGGGCAGGCTGCAGCTCCCCAGCTACGTCAACAGAGGAGGAAGGCGGGTCAGCTAGGTACCTCACTGTGTAGTACCTGAGCCTTCCAGCTTTCACACAGCGTCTGGGCCTTATTCGCCAGCTGTCACCAAGCTAAAACCCTGTTAGTATCTCTAAGCGGGCCCATCAAAAGGACTTTGAGCCAATCAAAATTCGTAGATACACACCGGGTGGGTGTTGTTGCTAGGCGCGTTTGGACGTGACGAACATTCACTGGAAATTTTGAAGCTTTAGATTCCCGCTACAGCTTTCCAAGTTCCCTACCTCCACGACGTCAACAATAGCTTGCAACGCCGGGCAAGCCTCTTCAATACCCGACGGCATCCCCTTTGCATCGCTCACAGAGTACGATATCATTCATCGTCGGCATACTCACCACACTCCGATTCTTATGAGGCGCCCTTGAATACGGCATGCGATGAGCGCAACACCAAGACAGCGGACTGGTGGGTTTCCACAGACACCAGCCCGACGACAGGATCACGATCCGAGCTCCTCCACCTCCTCTCAGAAGAAGAGCGACCGCGCATCGTCACTCCCTCAGGCTCCCGAGAGTGCGACTCGAAATGGCCCTGCGACCGAGCCCGTCATTCCTCTGACCATCCTCGATGCTCCCCAACAGCGCTTCTATGCCTTTGCCATATACGTCGGCCTGCTGGCATGGCGGTTCTACGACTGGATCAAGCTTGTGGAGGATAACGACACATCAGCCTGGCTATTCTTGAAATGGGTCTTTATCGACTTTGGCTTTCTTTTCGGTCTCCCGGAAATGAGGATACCATGGCTGGAGTTGTCACAGCCTGTGGTTACAGCAATCTTCCTGATTCACGCCTTCTTCAACTTCATGTTGATGTTCAACATTCCGGTATGTGCAGGAGACTAGACAGTTTTATGTCGCTTCTCAGACCAGGCTAACCACGAACAGCTCCCGTTGCAACCATGGCTTATTGGCTTCCTCAAGGTCTTCTACGACCGAGAGCTAGCCGTCTCAGAGAACACCGTCAAGGTCTCGAGTATTCTGCATAATCATTCCTTGATCATGGGCAGGCAGATCATCAATATCTTGCCGGAAGGGTGAGACTCTACTTGGGCACAATACTATCGTTTCTTTTGCTGACATTTACCAAGTTCTGCGGTTCTCAACTTCGAGCAAACTCCATTCTGCATCGGCGAAGGACGCGAAACGATTCGACTGCCCATACAGTTCAACTCCACAGTGCCTGCCGAGATGGAACTCATCCGCATCGACCTTGACACCAATCTGGAAGAAACGATTAAGCTGTCCACTAGGGAGGTTCGCAAAATCGCGAAGCAGATCAAGGACCAAACAGCGGAGTCAAACCCACTGGCTCACTCTATCGAGTATCCAGTGAAGAAGACTGGTGTGTACCGCCTGGGCAAGGTTCTGGATGAGTACAAGCTCGAGGTCCAGCGCACAACAAGGGACACCTACGTAGTGCCGTGCCCGAAGGCAGGGTTCCGGACGCCCGATAAAGAGGACCGGTGCATCAGGGACTTGTCCAACCTACTTGTTGACGTTACTGGAACGCCGCCCCTGAAAATTGTCTACAGCCGGACGGGAAAAGACAACGACCGCAGCTTCCACTTCCAAAGTCTGCAGCCCGAAGACTATACTTCACCTTTACTCGGTACACCGTCTTCTTCCTTGACTCAGATTGGTGACGAGGACATCTCCTGGGTTAAACCCCATACGGTGGCTGTGCGCATCAATGAGACCCTGGATAGTCCAGGACAGTGGCAATACGCCGTGGATGAGGTCACGGATGGCTTCGGCAACGTCCAGAAGTATGCTCCATCTGTCGAAGATGCGGAAGTGCGTCCCCGGCCTAAGCATCTGGCACGCAACTTTTTCGTCAAGGAGCGACCGAGAGCTCGCTTGCAAGATTGTGACCTGCGCAGACCGGTCAAGGTTGCCAAGGGCCAAAAGGCGAGACTTCCAGTCAGTTTCTCGATAGCTGGTAAGAACCCAGATACTTCGCACACATTGACTTGGGAGTTCTCGCCCATCGACTCTTTGACCAACAGCGGAGACCACGGCGATCAGGTTTCCTTGGGTTCTTTCACCGCTGCCAACTCTCACGACAAGCCATACGTCTCGGAGCCTGGTCTCTACACACTCAAATCTGTTTCTAGTGGATCGTGCGAAGGAGAGGTGCAGGAGCCATCATCTTGCTTGTTGCTCAACCCGCTCGAGCCCCAGCTTGCTCTCCGTTCCGAAGAGATACCCGACAAATGTGCAGGTAACTCAGTAGGACTCCGAGTTGATCTGGACTTCATCGGAACGCCGCCATTTGTCGTTCGATACGACGTTGTCGACGAGCAGGGCAAGACCCGACACGAGCGAGTTGAAGCAAAGGGTCTCCGACAACAAGTCGAACTGAGACCCACTGCTGCCGGTCACCACAAGTACATCTTCAAGCAGATCGATGATGCCATCTACAAGGGCCAGCCTCTCAGCCCCGAAATGACGTTGGAAACGGACGTCAAGCCAGCCGCCTCTGCACACATCTCGCACCCAACCGGACTCAAGAGCGCCTGTCTTGAACAGGAAGTTGAAGTCGACATCCTCCTTCTCGGCGACGCTCCCTTTACGCTCGAATGGGAGCTGGTGCACGATGGAAAGCGTAAATCCGAGCGTGTCACCGACATCGAGGGGTCATCATACAAGATTAAGACTAAGCCTCTTGCAAAGGGCGGAGAATACACACTTGCTCTCAACAGTGTCCAGGATAAGTCTGGCTGTCGCACGTTCCTGAAGGATGAGCTCAAGATCTCGGTTAGGCGCCAGCGGCCCCGCGCAGCATTTGGCCTGCTCGAGAACAAGCGCATCACCAAGGTTATTGAACACGCCGATGTCAAGCTGCCTTTGCGTCTTCAGGGCGAAGGGCCTTGGACAGTTTCTTACCGCAATGTCGATGGAAGCGATGAGATCTACGAGAAGGTGCTGAGGAATGGTAATGATGTCCTTCCTGTTAGGTCCCGAGGCACATACGAGATCGTCAACGTGAAAGACAATCAGTGTCCTGGTGTGGTGGACCCTCAGGCTTCCAAGTTTGAGGTCGACTGGTACCCTCGTCCAGAGATCACCGTGGTGCCGTCCGATACCATCACTTTGGATAAGGGCAAATTTGTCAAACGTGACGTATGCGAGGGGGATATCGACGCCTTCGAGGTCAACCTGAAGGGTAAGTTACACGCCATCGCAACCCTCGAACTGAAGTACTAACAGTTGCAAGGCTCGGCTCCATTCCATGTTGATTACAACATCCAGCACAAGCCTCCCCAAGGCTATGCCTCGACCAACAAGAGGGACTTTGACACGTCTCTTAACAAAGCGTCCATTCCGATGGACACCTCCAAATCTGGAGAGTACACGTACCAGTTCTCCGCTCTGGCAGATAACCTCTACAACAGTGAGAAGAACTCCCGGTCTCTCGTCATTGACCAAAGGGTCAATGCCAAGCCATCTGCTGCCTTCGTCAAGCCCGGTCAATCTTTCAAGTACTGCAAGACCGAGCAAGACAAGGAAGACACCATTCCCATCACCTTGAATGGCGTTGCTCCATTCTACATCGAGATCGAGATCAAGCATCACAGTGGAACTGTCCCTGAAACGTACAGAATTCCTTCTATCCAAGGCAACACGTACGGCATCCACATTCCCAGGCAGCATTTGCGCCTTGGAATTCAGCATGTCCGCATCCGCGAAGTTAGAGACGCTCGCGGATGCCAAAAGAAGTACGAGATTGGTGCGCCGTCTGTGCAAGTTCATCTCCATGACGCTCCCGCCATCTACCCCTTGGAGAGCCGAGGTGACTACTGCGTTGGTGAACGTATTGCCTACACGCTTTCCGGCACGCCTCCCTTTGAGATTTGGTACGATTTCCAGGGCCAGC